GAAGCTCATGGAAAAACTTTCGCCAGATGAACAAACTCCTTTTGAAACGGCTACCGTGAAGACCGTCTTGAAACATGAATCAATCCAAATCAAAGTGTGAAGCTGGGCGCGAGGAATTGGATGCCGCTTGTCCCCCTAAATTACTACTACCTATGGGGGTATATATGCTGCTATCTAAAAGAACACGTTTTCTCTTTAAGATCCTTATTTCCTTGCAGTGGATAAACGTGTGGTGTAAGGGGTAAGGATGTAGTGTAACAACTAACTGTAATAAGGCTGAAAAACCGAGAGTTATCGGAGTGATCCTGGCTGACACAAAGAAAGAGCAAACAAAATCACTGGTGCGTGATCCCTTTGTTAGAGTACATTGCTGCATATTGGCCATTCACTTATACCTGGCTCACTCTTCCTCACTTTTACTATCAGATAATGTAAGACCGTTGAAAGTAAGCGACTTCTCAGCTGGAGAGTTGCGTAAATGGGCCAATTTAAGTTCTGAAGGGTGGATAATCAAAAACAAGGCCGTTACAGTTCGTAATGATCCTTCTCTATATCACTTTACTTTTGCCAATGTTATCAAAACATACTACTTCTGCGCTTCCAAAATCACATCCCAGTTTCCCTCCGCCCATGTACTTTTCAAAACCAACTTTTCAAACTTCCACAGCCAACTCGATCCATCCTTGACAAGATCAGCGGAGTACGTAGTCCCAGCTAAAAGCCGTTCCTGGCCCGGCATCATTCCCATCCCACTACGGAAGTGCTGCGAAAGACAATAGGCGGTCATTGAGGCCTTGACTCCGTCCTCGGCAATGTTGATGCGGATGTTGGTGACTTGATGCAGGGTATCCATCTTGTTGATGACGTCGAAGCAGTTTTCCCGAATGGCTGGCAGGCCTTTGTATGTTGGGCCGTTAACGCAGAGGGTGGCGTCGGAGGTGAAAGCGGAATCGAAGACCGGTGCGTCATTGTGGTCTATTCCCTGGGCAAAGCGGTGGATGGTGTCGGCGATGGCTTCGCGGTCGGTGGGGGCGGGAGAGAGGACTGCAGGAAGCAGAGTGATGGATGCCATGGTGCAGTAGAGTGGAAAAGTGGTCAATGCCGCTCTTGGTTAGATCGGGGCTATGTGAGTTGACAATAGTGAATTGTTGTATTATAGCACTTTTTTTTTCTCGGCTTCGTGTGACATTGTCTTCTTATACCTCCCTTTTTTAGTTTCGTATCCCAAAAGCCGATTATCTCCTGACGCGGAGTTAACAGGTAGTGTTTTCAGTTTGAGTTTCTTAAAGCCGGTTATATCCAGTGCCCGGACCCAGTGTTTAAACGTTATCTCCATGACAGTTGCCATTATGCCCGATCATGTCCTGTCAATTTCCTTGCTAGTAAAGTAACGTTGGTCACCGTAAAGCGAGATGTATTGTGAAGCGAGATGGTAATAATTATATAGAGTAGAAGAAGATACCTAGTTAAGATATGTTGAGCTTATGTATGCTCTAAGACCTTTTCACCTATACCTAGGACTCGGGCTAGGAGCTAGGCAAGGAGTACTCTATAGGGACTAATTATATTATACTCTGCCTAGCTAGACGGTGGATCTCGGTTCGCGGTAAGGGACGTTAACTAGTACCTAGTAAAGGTATTGAAGTGCTCGAGAAGCCTTAGTGTAAGAGTAGTTTAGCTGGTACCTGATGAAGTATAACCCTAAGGCTTTAGTACCTTCCTACCGGCGTTGAATAAGGCCGTAACCTATAGATCGCATATCCAGTATCTTGCGGACGCTTCTCACAACATATCCTCTTTAGTATCGCGGTGCGCATAATGTTTAAAATTTATCTACGGGAGCTTTATGTTAGTATAACTATAGCGTGCTTAAAAGAGCTTACAATTATTTACATCCGTATAATACTATACTAAGACTTTATAAAGTCAACCGTACGTGGCCGCTAGTCCGCCGGGCTAGGCATGCAATCTAATTTAGTGTAGGATTAGTCGGGGTTTTTGAATGGTCGCCAGTCCATCGGCCCAGGTTGAATATGCATGCTACCCAGAACACTGCTGGGACCGTTAGCTGACGTCTACAAAAAAACATAAAGCAACCATAGGCTATAAGATCGTGAGGCTTAATCATTCACTGGCTACCTTTCCTGAGCCTTCTACCCTTACATTATTAAATTACCTGACAAGAAGCCTCACGCCCTTACTACCCTGTGCGGGTGCAGTAACAATCATGTCTGCTACCATATCAACGTCCCTCTTCCGCTCCGTTTCGTACAATTCCAAAGTCGGACCCTTCTTTCCAGTGCCATCATAAAGGTCGTATTTGCGGAAGATTGCCGCGATCACCAGGTAAAGTTCTTGATACGCTAGATTGATGCTGCAGTTAAGTGTTAGCAGGAACGTTTTTTTGGGGTCAATTATTACATACCCTAGACAAACTCTGGTGCCCTTCGAAAACGCAATCATATACCGATCCAAGCGGGGATCCTCGATCCATCGCTCAGGATTGAACGTGTAAGGGTCGGGAAAGTAGTCTGGGTGCATCTGCGTCGTGTGCGCGTCCATGCTGAACGTTGCGCCAACTGGAATCTCCCATACCTTCCCATTGACTTCATAAATGACAGGCTCGGGAGAAAGCCTCTGCGCGCGCAGTGTGGCTGCTGGGTGCACGCGGAGACCTTCTTGGATGACGGCGGTAAGGTAGGGAAGTTTCTCAACTTGTGCGGAGGTCGGGACTGAGTTGGGATCCGGTATCGCACTGGCGAGCTCCTGATTCAGTTTTGCGAGTTTGTCGGGGTTTGCGAGTAGTTCATAAATTATGGCAGCAAGGGTGGTTGCTGACGGCATTTTTAGATAAATGGCATTGATTTGTGAGAGCGGGTACCTTGCCTGTGGTGTCTTGGCCAGCAACGACTAGGTTCTGTGCTTCCATTTGCAGCCGGTCGGTCGCCTTCTCCGCCGGCGGGAGATTGCTTTTTAGAAGGCCATGGAATACTGTTTGCCCATTGTCGGCTTTGTCGTCTTTTTTGATTTCATCTATCTGGCGCTTCCATTGCTTCTTTTTGTTAGCAAGGTAGCTAAGGTTAAGAGCTAGGCGTTGCAGTGGCTTACTCGTCGCATGTTGTACATTGTTATCAAGCCTGGCGTCAGAAACTCCTGCAACTTTGGTGGTAAAGACATCATGAGACCACCCAGCCACGACACGTGAGCCATCAAGTGGCCAACCCCGAAGGCATTCTCGAATGTGTCGAAATAAGTCCTGTTAAAGTCCTCTAGCTCCAAAAAACCCCCGGATTCTCCAAAACAGTACTTAGTGATAATAGACGCAGTCATGGCTTTGCATGCAAGCGTTACTGGCATCACCTTCCCGGTCTTAGCAAATTCGTCGAACCGGTGCAACAGCATCTTGACCGTCTCGCGAGTGATCGGCTCGAGCCGTCGAACGCTTGACATGGAGAAATAGGGGTTTGCTGCACCACGGCGACTGCGATGGAGATCATGTGACGTAGTTGCTGTCATAGAATTTGGCACTGATTGTAGCGTGAGAAGAATGTTATATCGGTACCAGCGCATGGGAATCTCATACTCATAAGGGATCTTCCGTGATACTTGCTCTTATCCCGCTTCTTGTTGCCACTGGGGTAGACTAGATCAATAGCGCTAGGGTCTAGTATATGAACTTCGTGGGGGCTAATGCGGACAATGGGACCTGGCGTTGATGATTAAAATGCTGCGCACATGAAAAGATCGTAGATACCCACCGTATTTTTCATGCATTTTAATAACTTCCCAAATGTATTGACCGCGCCGCCAGATGTCGTAGTATCCTTGATACCACATTGTCATTGCTACCAGAAAATTTTAGAATTCCTCTTTTATGTCTGTAAGAAAGAATTCTCACCTGCCAGCTTCGGTCCAGGGAATTTGGCAAGCGGATGGAAAGTGACTGTGTTTGTTAGCTGTGTAACATTTATAATATGGAGAAGACTATTGGACAGATAGTACCTCGGTAAACAGCGAGACAAATGCAATAGACAAGTCCAGCCACTAGGACAGCCACTGGAAGCGGAATGGCTGCAAGAGCCGGAAATATCAATTGACCCCCCATACCGAAATGGAGATGAAGTTTTACAGCGCTTTCTTGTCACCTAGTGCGAGGAGCAGCAAGAGAATTTAACATGCCGAGTACGCGGTTGATATCTTCCGTGATTAAGGAAATAACGAGGTGTGATATCATACCGAGAGAAATGGTAAGGATAAAACCCCGCTTGCTGCATGTGCAATATGATTGTTAAGCATGTATGTGTGATAGGTGCATCCGTATAATGCAAGTCTCCGAAATAACGTGCGTGTGATTGGATAGATCAGTGGAGCACAAAGCTTACAAACATTGTCGCTTATGCTGCAGGGTATAGATCCTTACAGGGTACGCGTTTTGGACCATCTTTTTGTTACGTGTAGGAATTTTATTGGTTTCTAGTTACCGAAGCACAGTTTCACGTTAATTGTTTAGGTCTTGTGCATGCGGTTGACAGTTTAGACTACCACACTGAGCAAATAAATGCATGCGTACGTGGATTTAGCCTAACCTAATCAAGGTTCTATCGACTCTACTCTCGATCAAACTGGAGCGAAGGGGGTAAACCCAACAATGACGAGCCCATACATGCATGGCGACCACTTTGTCGGCGTGCCTTGTGTTAATCCAAATACCAGAAGACCGCATCCTCCCATGCTCGTTACCGCTCCAGCACGTCGAACTTTAGCAAGTCGAACTTCTTCAAAGAGAACCCTTCGTTTCTTAGTAGGGAAGCGCACCACCAAGAAGTAGGAGCAAAAACTGCGGCGATTATAGCTGTTATATAACGAGCACAAGGTATTCAAAGAATTCTTCTGCAAGCCGAAATCACAATCCACGACTTTAAACACCCGCTATAAGAACTTTACTGTTTATGCCTGTTCGTTAGAAACAATTGATGAAAGCTACAAAGCTCAGCATTTCCTTAGATAATGTACTTGTTGCTTTAGCCAGCAATTACGGGTTCTCGCGGAAAGGGTAATGCCATGGAAGAAGCTCGAAAGGAAATCTACGATTGTTACAATTAACGAACTACATGTCCACGCCAATGTCGTGTAAGAGAGGATTTCAAATTCGGACGTCTTTCCTAAAAGTATCTAAGCTGTTTCCGATTTTTACGACTGACGTTGTAATTCAGTGCTGCTTGTACTGCCATAATAGCATAGGATTTATGTTTGTGAAGGCAGTCTGATGTTTGCTTTCGGTACCATCTATTGAACTTTATGGGCAGGTGCATCAATGAGTCTCTGAGATTGTAGAGGAAACTAGTTACTATCTAATATCATTAGTCGTTGTCCGTGCACACTGTTGCCTAAATGTCTGTGCATTTCACTGATGCTTAAATATCTACAGCATAGCCTCCAAGATCTTTCTTCAGAGCGTTGTCTTTCATCTTGTTTACAATCATGTTAAATCTACTGGACCTCCCAACTGAACTCATCTACCGAATTGTCGAATTTCTCGAGGAAGATTACGACCAATGTTACTGCCACAACGAGAAAGATTCTAACGCACTTGTCAACCTGAGACTCACCAACAAGAGGCTTTCATTGATTGCCAGGAAAACTCTCTTTTCTACCATCAAAATACTCCCCTTGGAGCCTTTGAACAAAGACGACTTAAAGAGACACAAAAACGCCCTGGAGCACCAAGAGCTGTGGGGATACGTAAACAGCGTCGAAATCGATACTGTCGGATATAATGAGATAAGATATGTGTATCCTTACTCTACCTTCCCGCCCACACAGGGTGCCTCATACGAAGCAAAAGTCTCAGACGAGTTCGGAAAGGCGCTATCTACTTTAAAGAAGCTTCCCAATATCCGAGCCGTAAAACTATATCTGTCGGAAGTATGCTTTGCGAATGGATTTGAGTGGGGAATTAGGAAAGATTTTCATGGACCCGCGCAAACTATTCGCTTCCGAAAGGCTGTTATGGAACAATTCTTCGCCGCTCTAGCAGATCCACTTGCAGAGAGCATCAAGGATATCTCTATTACCCATCTCCAGGATATCAATGATCCGACCTTAGTTCAGTCGAGTTATTTCAGATCAGTTCTGAGGCGATTGTCATCCTTGACACTGAATATAGTGACTGATAACGTTTCACTGGACACTCGAGAGGCCATTGAATTAGAAGAGTAAGTCTCGTGATTATCAATTATCTGAAAAAAGCCTCCGCTCACAGTGCTACAGACTTCACGATTTCTTCAATCAACTACCATCTACCTGGCTAATGCCTGCTGCACCTGGCCTGAAATGTCTGGTTCTCTCCTGCGCAGACCGCTATTTTGGCTACTATCCTAAGCTGGATTTGAGCTCTGTCCACTTCCCAAACCTCGAAACACTGGCACTGAGTAAATTTACCATTGCCGAAAACAAACACGTCGACTGGATCACTTCTCATACAGGCCTGCGTCGGCTTTCCCTCCATGATTGTCCGATCTTGGTGTACCGCATCGTGGATCCGGAACACCTTGTAGAGAAAGACAATAACAACCATTCTACTCTAATGGATGCGACCATAACAGGGTGGGGACGGATAATACAGCTACGGGAGCTACGCTGGAGTGGCATTTTCGCCCAGTTTCAGTCTTCGCTCAGAAGCTTGCGAGAGTTCCGGATCGGGTATTGGAAAGATCACGATACAAAGACAGTCGATTCCGATCTGGACATGTTTGAAAACATGCCTTTTGGCTTGTTCCGTAATCGGTATAAGGTTTATAATTCGGGCCGTCGTTTGGATGATGAGTTGTACGAAGACGCTGAGTGGTATACCGATATGCAGGATGATGAGGGAGACGATACGTTGTTAGGGAAGATGGTGAAGCAATTTGCGGACAGATGCATAGAAGGAGACCAAAACAAAGAGGATAAAGCGGCATTGGTGGGGCTTTTGGAAAGTATCGGGATGGAAGTTCCGGTTGGTTTCAGCAAAGAAGGGTCAGTTTGTGACTTAGTTGAGACGCAATGGTAAAAGAGACTACCCAGTAAAATTACAAACTAGATACTTATGTTCCTGAGCAGTTATGTGCTAGCTGAGGCAGGTGAAGGTCGATGCACCCTGTTGATACTCGGGCCAAACCTAGTTCTCACTGCAGAAATTGCTCTGCAAGCCCTTGCAGTTGCGCATTCCATCCCAAAGCAAAGGCTCCGTCTCAGTGCTCTCCCATGGTCCGACAGATGCAATGCTATAACACTTGTATGAGATGCCGAGAGCATCGTCCGATTCAAAAGCTTCAGGGAGGACGATTTGCAACACGCTTTCAGGGCCGTCTTCGACGTTGCCCAAGCGGATGGTGGTGGCAGGAGTCCAGTCGTTGTCGAGGTCCCTAATGTGTCCGTCGATGTTCGTGTTGTTGCCCCACAGTTCCTTATCGTCGACCGTTTGGGGGATCCATGCCTTAGGGGCATCAACGAAGGCGTCGTTGGCAACGTAAACACAGATGCTATATTTTCAGTCAGCATCCTGTTGTTACAGGTAACGTGGTAGCAACTTACGAGTCACTGTCATCCACCTTGGCAAAGTCTCCAAAGTCGGAATAAATGTATGTGCCATCGCCAAGTTGTGCAAAGCTGGCGCCGTTGGTGGGGCATTTCTGGCCATTGTAATTCTTGAAGAAGGTTCTACCCTTTATTCAAAGCGTTAACGCTGTGGTTCAGGGCGATGATGGAAGGGTTATTGTACCTCAGTGACAATGTTGTAGCCGATGATCCTCTTGCCATCGACTTGTTTGTTCTCCTCAGGGAGAAACAGACTGCTATCCCACTTGTCGGGGAGAGCAGCCACAGAGTTTGTCAAGGCGAAGGCCAAGGCAGCAACTTGAGCGGTTGAGAAGAACATGGTTGCGAGAGAATAGTAGATAGTCGATTTGAGAGTAGATATTGAAAAGCCCTGGAAGACAGTGTGAAAAGAGTGTGGATTGAGTGTGCTGCTGAGCAAATTCAGTTCGTCCTTTGCTCTTTTGTATGCTCAAGGCGACGGGGGTTGAATCCTCCGGTCTACCTACGGCTCAGTGATAAACATTGCGCTTTGAGAGCAACTAGAAGGCAGTGAGTTGGTTTGTTAGGCGATTGAGAGGCTTGAATCGTACTTTGGTGTTCTATTCTTCTAATTGGGCCCCAAATTGTCTCCACCAATTGCCTAAACGGGGTCACCACTGCGAACCGTCTTGAACCTGGCCACTTAATTGGCCCTCGGGGCCGTTGAGATTGTTTGGGGTCCATTGGGAAGGCAATGCTGTGGCACCTCGGAGCGGTACGTGTGGCTCGCTGTCCCGCTTTTTCTCAGATGGTTTTAAGCGTTTCCGCCCCCGCATACGCGATCTCTTTTTAGCAAACGTCGATCAGGAAATCCTTCGACCCCTGAGTAAGACCCTTGGGTCCAAACTCTACTTCCTGGAACCCTCCGCTAAGATTGAGATATAGAACAACGACATTAGCAGGGAACATTTGGTCTCGGGAGCGTGAGGTTTGGCAGCCGGATCGGAAAGGGCTCCTAACAAGCCGTGGCGGAACTGGCCCTGGGTGGAGAGATGTTTTGAGACATGGAGATTGCCCGCCTTCTTGCTATCTTTCGAATGTACTACATAGTTGTGAGAAACACGGTTTGGGTGGCGGAGTTAGCCAGGGCTCAGATCTGGTCTCGCAGGCGAAGCCGTTGAGCGCTCACCGTCCCGACCTTCTTGCATATGATAGGCAAACAAATGAGCCTCGGAGTGCCTCAAAGCGCAACGCTTCGATGCGAGCAAGGATGTGAGAACTGGCTTCACCACCACCTCCACATCAGCATCTCCGAAGCCGCAACGGCACACGCCCCTCCGCCGCAGTCCGACCCGGATCCCGCGACGCGCTTCAACGCGCGTTGTCTGCCCTGCTGCCAACTCCGCTCATGCCATAAACAGCCCACACCGTCACTCCCAGTATCATGACCTGCACCGCGCCATCCAATGCCTCTCCATTGTCCCGCGACGGCGCCTCCTGCCCTCCTTCTCGTCTCCGGCGATGTGTATCCGTGTTTCGCGGAGCCGTCATCGAGCACAGCTGGCGAGGAGGACGCGCGCGCGCGGTAGCGAGGGTAGGCACGAAGGCGGCGCGTGGAGAGGGTGGAACGAGGGGCTTGTTGCGGGATTCATGAGCGAGGGGCGCGATGGCGAGCTCGGCGACGCGGTGCGGCTGTGGTGACGCGGGTGTGGGTGATCGTGGTCGCGCGCGCGACCGGAAGAGGTCGGGTCAAGCGTGATGATCTCTCTTCATGGCCGGACGGTCAGTAAGAAGGGGCATTCGGGGAAGCGACAGCATAGGGTGGCGTGCTGAGTTTGGAATGAGACTGTTGCTGACGCGGGCTGGGGTGGTGAGGATCTGCGGGAGCGGGGAAGCGCGGAGCGGCTGAGACGGTGTACGGTGCCCTGGTGCGCGAAAGAACGAGCTCGCGCGGTGTCGGCGTGGTTTTGACAACTAATTCATGAGTACTCCGTAGAGGGTTGCTTTTACATCTTGCAAGGAGATGGTCTGCCACAAAACCGTGATTGTTTGTACATAGTTACATGTGGAGAAGCAACCAATGGGATTTTCTCCGGCTTCCAACAATTCTGACCAACTGCATGACGCGCTCAGGACCCGCATCTTTGGACAAGCCCCAACGTCGGTTCGTTCTTCATCCAAGACCTCCACCTCTACGCCTCTGGTTCCAACCAAACCCTCTTGCTTTGTCATCCACAACCGACTGCATGATCTTGTCCTGCTTTCGCACCGCGTAACCCCACCTATTGTTGCCTGGCTACGATCGACTGCCTTCGCGTCTGCGCGCGTCCGCTGGATTGGCGTGCGTCCGCTGGATTGGCATGACACCCGACTTCGCTCGCTTGGATCTGACTGACGTGTGTGAGCTGGCGGTCTTCTTTACAAGGACTAGGAACCTGGAGACTTACGATCGCCTTGTTTGCCTCACATCTCACCCAGCTTGTCTAGACGGACGAATGTCTTGCCTGGCTTGCTCCAACGGCCTGTTTGGTCCTTCGAATCGCGACTTTCCGAGGCTTCGACCGACTGCCTGACGTCGCCCAAAATGATCAGCTGCTCATCATCCCCAGGAAATCGGAGAAGCCGGAGACTTATATCGTCTGGTTGGACAATCGCGCCATTTCAGCCTTCCCGAATGGACGAACGACCGCCTGGCCTTGAGCCGCTTGTTTGTGACAGACTTACTGCCTGCACCCGCGTGTCACGTCAGCTGCGTCGTTCTTGAATGGCCGGGACACTGGATACTCACAGCCTCACGTTGCTTCTTTGACGATGTTCGGAAGCCATCGGCGTTGCGCAATGTGACACGCGACAAGACATCTCGGCTTTGGCGACCTTGAGAGTTTGTGCGAGATAACCGTCAGTCCGGACTGCTAGGCGCTTGCGTGGACCGTTATTTGAATATCCAGATGGACCAAACTGGGAGCCTGGACGGAGACAGGTGTTGGTGAAACTCTTTCCCTTCCCTCTGCTTGATTGGATCTCGAGGCTTCCAATGGTAAGATCGTGGTCTGACAATTGTTGGTAACTTTGATTGAACGAAATTGGTAGCCTGGACAAAGGTTTGTACAATCGAAGCTCTCTCTCTCTCTAGCCTGGACAAAGGTTTGTGTAATCGAAGCTCTCTCTCTCTCTCTGTGTGGGTCTCTCTCTTTGTTTGTGCGGGTGATTGAGTGAATTGACGATTGTTCGATGTTTTGAGTTGAACAGAAGCCTGGACAAAGGGCTTGCATCGCCGAAGATCTCTCTCTCTCGTTGATTGGTTTGATTGTGAAGCGGTTCCGTGAGCAGATGGAAACCGGGACAAGTGGCCGACAATTTGAATGAACGGCTGAAGAAGCGATCAGGTAGGTTGTCTGACGCTCGAACTTGATGGTTGTTGACTTGATGGTAGCTTGCTTGGCTTCGACCAGGACCGATTGACTGAGTCCTGGGAATTGTCTCCCCAACGCCACGTAGAGGCGCAAGCTGTGTTGGGGTAAGTTAGGGTCTCCGGAGAGTTCGTCATGCAGGCCACAGATGTTTGCGGTCCCCCCTGCTTAGTATGACTCCCTAACTCGCCCATGATCAAGGCCTCGGATGCACTACGCCTTGCTGAATCATGGGACTTTTTCTTAGCGATGCCTTACATCCATGAGGCACCGGGGGAATGATGATAGCGAAGTTGTCCGACAACGCCAGAAACAAAAATGAAGAGCTCGGAAAGAGAGAGAGCAAGAGCAAGAGAGCAAGAGTCGAGAGAGCGAGAGAGCGAGAGAGAGAGATGGTGAGAGGATCCTACTCCTCCGATGAGGTCGCCACGCGTCTGCGAAGCGTTCCGAGCTCGATGTCCTCGGCCTCCTCCATGATGACGTCGAGGCGGGGGTCCTCGAATCCACTCGCGTGGTCTTGGCGGGTCGCAAGAGTGGTGGTGAACGGGGGTGGTTCGAGGGCACGAAGCCGCTCTTCCACGTAAGGGGCCCATCCCCCACCTTCCTCATGCACACGAAGTGCTGGCGGGTCGATCCAAAACAAGGGCCATTGCCATACAGGGCCTAGGGCCGAGTACATGTTCTTTCGCCAGCCCTGGTCCCAAGCACGGCCGTTTCCATCCCTGTACGTCAAGACCTCGGAGCGGCCGCCATCGCGACTGGTGATCCGGATGCAGCAGCTTGTTTCGTGGTTCTTCGGAATGGTTCGTACGTTCCGGAACGCGATGTCGCGCCAAAAGCCGTACGCGAAGTACACCGCCATTGGCAAAAGCAGCACCGCCAGACCCATGAAGCCAGTATATGCGTACATGAGGGGGCTTCTCGCCGAAGGGACAGAGAGCATCTTGAGGGTCACGGCGATCGTGAACGCCATGTGGACCGGGAGGAAAGCCAGGGCAAACAAATACGGCTTCTGCGTCCCCGCAAAGATCGGAGCCGGGAAGAATGAACAAGGGTGGTCATAGACCGGCAGGCAGCGATCCCATATATCGTCATGGTAACAACGGTCGGGACGGTGGAGCTCGCAATGCGTGCACCACTTCCTCCGGAGCAGGTTGTCCTGGTTGACCTGCGCGACCCGACGGATTGCTTCCTCCGAGAGGACCTGCCAGCGGGATGCGCGCCAATTGCCGACGAAGAGGACCCAGAACCACGGGTATGCCCATAGGAGGGACAGGATCGACGGGAGGATGATGAGGGCCATGCCCCAGCCGTAGTCTTGACAGGCCGGCGGGGCCACAAACGCATCTTGCGCATCCCCACGGATGCATGGCTTGACGTACGTGGACCAGCCCCACGTATACGAAATGACAAAAGCCGAACCGAAGAGGTGCAGCAGCGGGAGGAAGGGGGCGAAATACCTCCCAAGGACGACGGAGAGGAACGAGCCCACGGCGTGCAGAGTCGGCAGCGGCATGGTGACGAGAAGCGGTCGGTGCAGACGGGCAGCAGGGCAGTCTTCGGATGGTGGCGTCGGGCGTGGAGTCGCAGTACGCTTCAGACGCGGTTTGAAGGTGAAGAAGAAGACGTTCAGAGCGCGAGACGCGACTTGCATAGGCTTGAGATCGGGGGAGGAAGGCGCAACCCCCGGAGGAAGGCGCGACGCACCTCGCCCACATGAGCCGGCCATGCCCGTGCAATGCCAACAAACAGCATGTCCACCACGAAGCATCGCCGAATACACTGCCAAAGAATATTATATCCCTATCCAAACTCTCCAGAATTAAACTACAGAAAGCGATCCAGCCGGACGGAAACTTTGCTTTCAAACCGCACGTAGCGTACATATGGGTATAGCACTCTTCGCCATTGAACTCTGCAAAGGGTGCTGAATCTGTACGTAAGCTCCATAAAATTAGAGGTTCAAAAGCTCCTCATCTAGATTGGAGTAAGCTCTGCAGGTATCCGTGACGGGGTTGCGGGGTGGCTCCACACGCTTGGGACTTGGGAGCACGCGAGGCATAACCAAGGGTTAGCAAGCGATGATGTCGTAGTCTATTTTGGGCAGGGGGCTATATAAGCAGCGCGGTGCGTCCTCTTATTTTTCAAATTCTGCTCCACCTTCTCATTTACATTCCGACTCAAATCATGCGTGTCCTTCAAGCCCTCCCCGTCGTTGTAGCTCTTGTAAGCACGGCCACCGCGTTCGACAAGGACTATACCTATAAGCACACAAGCATTGATATTACCCCTCTTGAACCATGCGTGGTAAGGTGTTCATATCATCATTGAAGCAGTCACTGATTTTAAGACAGCAAGAATGTATGGACCAAGAAAAAAACAGGTGGGACTACACCGATATGAGCCGCTACCAGTTCTGCGAAGCGTGGTTTAACCCTGGTACTTGGAACTGGATATGGGACCACGTGAATAAATGTGCACGCAAGAGGTGTACTCTTGAAGAGGCAAAGAACTCTAGAGACAGTATGTCCTATTACGGCTTACATTCTTCTGCAGTAGTGCTAATAACTGGTAGCGTTTGATACGTGGTTTAAGGAGACGTGCGGCTTCGAGTTTGGGTCCTAGGAGTTGCTGGAAAATGATGCGCTATTCGGTGCTTCGTAGTAGAGATTAAGTATGACATTGCCACTTTTCCAAGAACCTTGCCGTCCACGATTGTGCCTCTATAGGAAGCCCATAGCTCCTATCTAATCTCTTGCCATGGCAATAGTTCATATTCAGCACTAAAGGCTCCAGATACCCACCGTCTCGGTAAAAGAGAGGCCGTGAAATGCATATTGTACAGGGGGTCTGAGACTCCGTCACTAAATCAGAAAAGCACCGCACTGCGCATGACGATGATGCTGAGAAGTACACGGAAGCCACGCCGGTTTGGCATGTGGGATGCGTCGCAGGATTGCGCTGCGATGTGATCATGCGGAGAGGCGGCGCCATGGGTCTCGTCGTGCGCTTAAGCATTGAACCAGTGCATAGATGTACCGCAAGAGATCCGCAGATCTTGCTCCACAGAAGAAGAACGTTATCCAACAGCGTGGTACCAAACAAGCAACAAGCAAAAGGCCACCACTGCCAATACCACGAAAAGTACATCGCGCCATCGCTCTCGTACCCACGGCCCAAAGTAATGCAACAGAGGAACATCGTCTTCAAAACGGTGCGGCAGCCGCTCGCTCACAAGATAGTGCCATTTCCACGTCTGCCGACAGCTACCAGGGCCAGGAACCTCATGCCACGCATCGATCGGCGGGTACGGGCTTTCCTCAAAGCACAACCGCAAGCCAAATCTCCCATAGAAGTACTGCTGTCGCTCAAAGCTGAAGAACGGTACGCGCTCCCACTCGGGTCCGAAACAGCCTTTCTCGAGGGTGAAAGCAATGGTGCGCGGCTCGAATGCGATTTCGTTCAGGCATCGGTCGGCTCTCAGAGAGGTGGCGTGCTGCTGCCAGTACGAGATCACGTCGCGGGTGAGGGTGATTTCGAGCTCGAAACGGGCGGGAAGGGCGACGGCTGCGGGCTGGGCAAGGATCGACGCGTCGAGGGCGCGCCAGTGGAAGACATACGCGACGAAGATTGTTGTTTGGCCGGCGAGTTGGAGCTGCGTACGGGGGTGGGGTTTCTTAGCTGGGATGTGCTGTGCGATCCTCCAGTGCGCTGCGTACCTACCTCGCCGGTGCCGTCAGGCAGGAATTTCACGAAGTCCCAGAGTTCGCCGGCCCATTGCCATTCCCGGCAGCAGAGAAGGGAGAGGACAGTTTCATGGCCTTGTTCGACGTCAAGCCTCCCCATGGTTGGAGAGGATTGTTCAAGCTGGCTGCGACCTCAAGGTTGCGGTATGGCGGTATTAAGACCAGCTGGCTGTGGCTGTGCGACTCTGAGACCACAGGTTGGGGGCCAAAGGCAGCAGCGCAGGAACTGGTTCTTTGCGGGCCGTGGCTGTGCGGATTTTCCAAGACATGCCGGATCGGGGGTGAGCTTTCATGGAGGGAGGCACGGGAGGGTTAAGGGAGGATCAAGAGAAAGATGGAGGAAAAGCTGATGGAAGAAGAGTAACATCAATACAACGCGAATCGACGGGCCGCGCCTCGAATTTGACCAAGAGCACGGCACAGACTAAGAACAACCACGTCTCTACGCGACAAACCTGACAATCGATCGCAGTCTCAGAGCGTGCCGAAACCAGACGTCTAGACAACCCTGAACACTGTCCAGCGACCCGACTCTTCACCGCAGACCACAAAACCCTTCCTTTTGCGAGCCGCTTTTCGCCTTTCTAGCAACTCGACGCAGCGCAGGCTCAACGGCACGGGGATACAGACCATGGCGCGACCCCGCGGGCTCGCAGCAGACGGCGATAGAGTCCAGCGCGTCAGGACGTGCAGCTCGCTCGGGTCGGATCGACTTCGCGCCGCTGCTGCTCCGCCATGGAGCCCTCAAGGTGCTCAAACACTCAAACCCTCTGCCAGGTGCTGGCCAGCCTTACACGACAAACACCTCCGCTCGTCTCATCGACCTGGACACGCGCGCCCAAGCCGCCGCGCCTCGTCTCGCAGCTCATCGCACGCGCGCTTCCCGCATCGTCACGTCCCAACGCGTCCCGTCGCGTCCTCGCTCGTCACCGGCATTACGCGCCTCTGCGCATCGGCGTCCGTAACGCAGCAGCCAGCCCGCCAATTGGCTTGACGGAGATCCGTTGAGCTGGCTCCGCGATGATAATGGGTCTCTGAGACGAGGACAATTTGGGATGACAGATCACGGCGGCGGGATGGGCTGTGCGGTTCTGCGCTGGTGACGTCACTGCCCGACGATGCGGACTTCTTTCGACGCGGCGCCCTTCAACCACGTACCTGAGATTGACGGCCCTGGATTGTATATCTGGCTTGGAGGGTTGAATTTGGGCGTGAGAGGGGTTGTCGGGCCAAGCATTGGACTGGAGACGGTAAGTGGTTGAGAGAGGGCGCTGACGTCTCACCCATGCAGGTATCTCCTTTCATCCGTACCGGTGCAGCTCATCGGATGGCCGTTCTCTCGATGCGTCATCGATCCTCCGTGTCTTCACTGCCGGGCGCACTCTTCCGCTATCCACGTACACCCCACATCCCCACACCACCGCAAACCACTCTTCGCGCGCTTCGATCCTCCACCGAGAGCTTTGCCTGCGCTCTCCTGCCTCGCTATCGCTGTTGCAAGCATCCGCCAAGACGACATTCCTCTTCTCTTTTAGAGGTTCTCTCCAACCCCGCTCCTGGAAAGCTCCGAATCGTCATGGTACACTTGCGCGATTTGAAGATGAGCTGCAACAGCGAGTGATAGGCCACGGGTGCTGGACGGCGACGATTTCATGTAGCCTGTAGCAGGTTGTTGGTCTCAGCCACAGGCATAAGACTACTGGGGTGGCGGAATGACAATCTGAGTTCAAGAAAGCCTGGCCTGGTGTGGATGCTGCCTGATGGGTAACAGCTACGGATCCAATCACATGGATGGTAGTGAGGACGAAGGGCCAAGCTCAAGGGAAGCAGAGGAAGTTGGTGATCTGGCTCATTGACAGCAGTGATAGGGAATCCTCTCCACCCTCCCTGAACACTCTGCGGCACACAGCCCACCTTTCCTCAAACTCCGCGACACGCAACCTCAAAGGTCTTCGAAACTACTCAATGATTGGCTTGGTAAACAAGCTGATGGACCCCGATCCGCTCATTGCCAACTCTACGAGCACACTAGCTGCCCTTCGACGATGCTGCCGCTGGCCTTCACCAGTCCGACGTCCGGAAGACCTAACCGGCACTGCTCAATGTCACTCGATTGGCTTCGCCGCCGCTGTGCTCCTGCTACTGCTTCCACCAATTCAGCTTGCCACCACCACCGCTGAACCACTTGCTACCTGGGCGCCCGCGGCGCAACACACCTCGACAACAACGTGAGTTGGCTAGCATGATGGGCCTGGAATAAGGACAGGTGTACAGGGCATGGATATTGCCGTCGCGACGAAGAGGGTGGAGACTTGCTGAAAAGACGGATGCGTGCCGACCGTTCGCATCATCCAGTCAGATTATACACGCTGCAGCGTTTGTCACCGACATTCGACTTTACCAAGGATCACGCCAGATCATAAAGATGCAGATCCCATTGAAGCATATGATCATGCCTCCTAGTGTGTCTGCAACCGACCAAGTCCAAGAGTCCTTGCAGCATTCGACTAATCAGGACATTAAGCTTATCATCTTTCGTCGAAAAAGGCCAAAGCCGTCGCTGAAACCTACTAACAAGAGGCGCTAGTCGTATATCGCTGAATGTAAAGCGTTCATCTAAGTTCGAAGCCGCAGATTTCTTTGAACCATGCCCCTGGATGCTAGAAAGATCATTAGTATCGCTATCGACTGAAGGATGACTGGAAATGATCAAAATGCCCATCCTGTTCTGAAGATAATCGTCATGAGTACACTTCTTTGCTGTGCATTTGGCGACCGTCTCATGGAGCCAAACATGCGCGCCGGGGAAATAATTATACTCGCAGAAGTCATAGCGACTCATTTTAGTATAGTCCCATTTCTTCTTATTCGCTTCCATGCAACCTTGCTGCGACGAGGTTAACATTGAGCACGGTTGATTTGAGACGAGCAAGGATCTTACCAGACATGGATGAAGGGGGCTGATGTCGATGTACTCGTGTAGCCAGCTGGGGTTATACGGCGCGGAGAGGGCAGCACCCACGAAAGCGAGGACAACTGAGGCGATGGTGATACGCATGGCTGAGGCTTCTTGCGGGCAAGATGGTGGAAGACCGAAGACAGTAGGTAGACTGGCCGTGGAGCGAGACGCTGGGGGCCTTTGCGGTGTATATACTCATTGATTAGCGAGTGACAAGACCCATGGCGCTACCGCTCTGCATGATGGCATCGCAGCGCCGTCCCAAGCAGGACACACCACCATGTTCTCAAGGATAGGTCACCAAAGGTGAGTGCATGATCTCCAAATTCCTGAATCCAGGCATCCAGGGACAACCGACATCGCAATTACTATCTACCTATCCATACCTCAACATCCGCGGCTCCGGCACGCGCCACTCCACCGCTGGAAGCTACAAGGCATCCTGCCTTTGTCAAGCGGTGGTTGGATATATGTTGCAAACCTGGGACTTTGGAATCTGGATTATTGTTGTCTACCAATCCCCCAAGTCCCGACCAAGCGGAGCAAGTCCGCAACTCACTTCACATCGGAAACGTGCAAGGGCTTTCACTTTACTTCTTGACCTTCAGGCCCGCAACGTAAATTGCGGCATGTGTGGGCCGCTCCGCGTTGCCTCTCGGCTCCTTCCCATCGTAAATGGAAGCTGCTCCCAAGTCCCTTCCTCAAAAGGTTGGCTGTTTGTTTTCTCCGCCGTGTCCATACAATGAGCCTCTCGCTTCTCGCCCCATCTCTTCCCCCAACCACCGACGCATCACGATCCAGCTGCACGCCGCCGCCGCACGACTCCTGCTCCTTTTTTCATCAACAAGATCTGCCGCGCGCCGCGTCCCTAGATAGCCATCCATCATGACGACCTTTGAGGAGTTCCTCCGCATGATCCGCGAGGTCTTGTACTTCACGTGGATTTACGGCGTCTGTCCGCTCCCTCTCCTGTTCTTGTTCGGCTCGACGTTCGTCTTGTCGTATTGGTACGGCTGGAGAATCTTCCTGGCTCCCTGTTCGCAGTCGGCCGATTGCCTCGGTCCGGTAGACTCGTGCCGTCACCGTTCGCTCGGGCTCTCCCTCATCATTGTGCCTTCGGTCCTTGGGGCCTTCTGGAGTATTCCGTGGGTATGGGTGATCGTGGCGGGGAACATGCGGGCCTTTCGGACACGTCTTTTGTCGGATGACGCATTTCGTACTAAAGTGCAGGTAGATCGGAAGGACAACAAACGCCGGAAGTTCTACACAAGATGTGAGATCTACCGACCCGTCCGGGGCCTACTACGACGACACAATTGGCCGCTGCTTGCCTATCTACGATCATTGGTGCTCGTGGTTTCCTGCGCCGATTTGGGGTGGCTCCCAGAAAGCCTACTTGCTCGCTTTGGCCTTTTTACCTGTACACCTACTTGTCAGCACCGGGTTTACGTTCGGCCTATTGGCAATTCGGGAAGCCAGGGATCGTGTCCTGTACGTTTACGCGGCCGTTGTGGGCATGCTCTGCGGTTCCGGTACGCATGTCCGCGCGAAGCAGACAGTCCCTACGCACTGGTGCGGCTGTCGAGGCGACGGTGCGTGATAGGGATGTGCTGCCGAGTGAGGGACGCCGGGGCATGGGAGGAGGGAAGGGGGACGTGTGCTTGTTGCCGTTGGGCGTAGTAGAAGTGGATGGCTGGGGTGAAGAGATAGGGAGGCGTGTCTATGCGGTGGGGTTTGTCCTTATGCGCTGAGGTGGCTGGTGGTGGGCTGTGGAGAGGATGAAGGAGGAAGAAAAAGAGATGTGTATCAAGTCTACATACCCCCGCTAAGAATCTAACTTTCTATCAACACACACACACACACCCACAAACACCAGCCTACAGCTTCGCCTGCCAAGCAGCCCGATCCGCGCTCTCGCCCGGCTTCTCCCTGCCATCCCACCAAAGAGGACAAAGCTGGAACCACTTCTCGCGGCTCACAACACTATGCACACTCCGCTTATGGCCCAAGTCCACAAACGAGCCAATCGTCAAGCCCTGCGCGTTCTCGTAGCTCAGGATCGTGCTGCCCGTCGCGCGCGGCTCGCCCACCGCCGCCTGCGTGCGCGCGTCGTCCAGGAAGCAGTAGTGGATGCAGCTGCTGTACCACGCCGCCACGCGGTGCGCGCCCCGGTAGGACGCGTTGCCCACCAGCGAGTGCCGGCCGCGGTCGTAGTCGCCGGCGGCGTAGTGCGCGCCGTAGTGGTCCTCCTGGCGTGGGTGTTAGCGGGGGTGCTCGAGGGGAAGCTTTGAAGGAGAGGGGAAAGGGGTCTTTCTTACCTTTGCCCAGTAGATCTCATAGTACGAGAAGCGCTCGTCGTCGAACCGCCCAAACAGGCACAGCACATGCGGGTCCTCGTGCAGCCGCCGCAGGTACTCGCGGTGCTGGTCCATCGTGCCCGTCTCGTTCCAGCCCTTGGCCACGCGCGGGTCGTTCTGCCACGTGTTGAACAGGCGCACGTGGTCCTCGCTCTGCCAGTCCACCACCTCGAGGCTGAAGTGCTCCTCCACCTCGGGAATATACCGACTATAGACGATTGAGCGCACCGCGGGCTTGGGCCGCCGCACCGGGTGCTTTGCGTACACGGGCTCGGCGGGGAACTTCATCGTGTGCGTCCACAGCTCGGGCATGGGCGGCACCTGCGCCAGCGGCGTCCGCAGCGCCCCGTCGGTCCCGGTGCCGGTCACCCAGATCGGACGCGGCCCGGCGGGGGACGCGGCGCCCTGCCAGAACGCGGCGCGCAGGAGCAGCAGCTCGTCCGGGTATGTGGCCGAGAGGTCGTCGCCCGGCCGCCAGGGCGCGGGGTGCGCGACGCAGAGACCCGTCGCGATCAGCTCCTGCCGTATGACGCCGCTGTTGGCGCCCTGCAGTGTCAGGCGCAGAGATTCGCGTTCGGGGTATGCGAGGAAGAGGGCGTGTGCGACGTTCCAGACGGCACCGAGTGAGGGCGCGGCGCTGCCCGTCCAGGCGAGGGTGGTTTGCGCGGCGCGGCGTGCGCGTGCCCACGCGCTGTTGTTGTTCAGTGGCGGGCAGGCGGCGGCAGGCGGGAAGGCGAGGTCGCGGAAGGTGAGGGCGGCATGGTGGAGGGGTTGCGGGGGCGCGCGGCCGTTGGCAGGTTGCTGCTCGTGGACGAGGGCGAGAGTGGCGGGCGTGGTGGTCTTGCCGGCGACGGGTTGCACGCGGTAGACGGTCAGGAAGGGGTGGGGGAGCTTGACCAGCGGGTAGGGCTTTTGCTGGCGAGCTGGTGAGCTTGAGCTTGAGCTTGAGGTGTTGGAGGAAGACATTGTGCCGGGTGTAGTGATCGGCAAAGGCGGGAGTGTTTACCTATATCTCTCGGGGATAAGCTGTGAATGACAAAGTCCAGAAGCTCACAAGCAGCTCGTACATACCTATGAGCGATCGGCGCTACGGGCCCGTGGATGCGGGGATCAAGGGTGTCGAGCCGGCGCTAAGGCTACATCATGCCATGTGGCCATCTGATAAGATGAAAACTCTGCAGAAGTGGAGCGTGGTGGAGCTGGTGCAGCAGCCGGCGTTCCGTGGAAAAGTCACAGAAGAATTGCCACGGTTGCATCCTCCGGGGCACGGGGGATTCTGGCATTCGTGTCGTCGTCGGGCGTCGACGCGTCATTTGTCGCTTGTCGATTCGCATCAGATTAGATGAAAACTCTGCCCTCTTGGCGCGGCTCTCAGGACTCACGACTCGATTCGATTAGATAAGATTTATGCTTGCAACCTATTGAAACCTCCGACGCTCCGACCTCATCACAGCTTCGAATTCACCCACCGTGGCGCCCGCTTCTCCACAAACGCCCGGATGCCTTCCTTAAAGTTGTCGCCCTCGACTAGCCGAGGGTACCATTGATGCTCCAGCTGCGATACCGCTTCCTCGGCGTTGCCCTGCTCCCACGCCAGCCGGATGCCCAGGCGTCCCACGACCAGCGCGTCGGGGCTATTGGTGCACATTTCTTCCGCGACCTGGACCGCCGCGCCCACGACATCGGCGCCATCCTCCACTAACCGCCCAATGAGGCCCCACTCGTGCAGCGTCGTCGCGCTGACTCGCCGCCCCGTCAGTACGAGATCCGATGTGCGTTGCAGACCGAGGGTCCGCGTCAGCCGCGGCAGACATCCCGCGACGGGCACGATGCCGCGCTTGGCCTCGGGCAGCGAGAAGACGGCCGATGCGGCTGCCACCACCATGTCGCAGTTGGCGACCATCTCGAAGCCGCCGCCCATCGTGATGCCGTTCACGGCCGCGATGATCGGTTTCTTGCCGCTGCGGCGCGGGAGTCCGGCCAGGCCTGGCGCCGCCATAGAGTTCACCTCGCCCGCCGCGTTCATTGCGTTCCATTCTGTTTTACGTCAGTTGTTTGCTTCCAGATCGACGCCTGCTGGGCCGGCGTACCCTGCAGATCGGCACCGGTGCAAAACGCCCGGCCGGCGCCCGTGATGATGCCCACCCAGAGGCTTTCATCCTCGTCGAACCACTCCCATATGTTCTTGATCTCGTTGCTCGTGGCGTTGTCGATGCAGTTCAACTTCTCGGGGCGGTTCAACGTGACCAGGACCACCCGCTCTTGCGGGAAGGAGACGTGGAAGTGCTGGTACTGCAGGGGCTTCGATCTCAGAGACATGGTCGTCGTCGCTAACTGCTTCCTAGAGCAGACCCGTCTCCCGACTTTATATCATCTTGGCTAGCTCACGCTCCACCGGACCACCGTCCTCCCGCGCGAGCGCTGTACCCACGTAATCTGCAGGGGCATGAAACTTCGGCGGAGCGCTTGCTGACTCAAAATACAGCTGGATTACAGTATTTACCGTCTTCTTTACCGCGCTCAGATCTCGGGGCCGATCGAGCGTGCCTGAAGGTCCCTGCATCCGTGCGTACGGGGCTGTGGGTTCGTTTTAGCGCCCAACGTCTCCACAGCGTCATCTTATCAGATGAGACGACGCGGCGTGTGCTGCCGCGAAAAATGTTGCTAGCGCTCCGTCTAGCCCTGTTTTGTATTTAGGCCCACGTGGATCCCCGCGGCCATTCTTGCTCGCATGCCGTTTACGGCAACTTTTCCAAGCGGTGCGTTCCGCTCGTCTTATTAGATGCTCGGAACCCGCATCTTATTAGATAGGCGGAATCCGTTGCAGGGCATTTCATAACGCGACGCGCTGTTGTTTGGGCTGAGCCTTGAGAGATTGTGGCTGTACAAAGGTTACGCCGTACGTCAGCAACTGCTCTTCCACGACTGATCGATCCGCACTCACCACTTCCCAAGGTCCAACTTGCGCAAGGCCCCGTTGGATTTAGAGGAGCCTACTTTTTACCCCGCATTTCGAAGCGTGCGTGAATTGGACCACTGCAGCCGGGACCATGGGCGCCACCCTTGTCGCTGATATTCCCGACCCAAGCCAGATGTCGAATGGGTCCATTGACATGTCGGCCAATGGCCAGGCTGGCAATGTTGATTTCAAGTCTTTCGAGATCTCCGGTCTTGCAGCTGATCAAGGGTCCACTTCGACAGGGATGAGGGAGGAATTCCTGCTTCTGTCATGGCTCATCGTGCTCCTGCGGACACGGGAAGACAGCCAAATCACATTCGAATGGGCTTACAAGTCTGCTTTTGAGCAGGACGCTTCGAAAAGATGTCTGTCGATGGACAAAGTGATGACGGGATTGCAAGACGGCGTTGGAAAAGTCGCCGCAGCAATCTCTGATGATCTTGCACAAGGCCAGGGCGCAGTCGCGTCCGGTCCTGCCTCGCTCCTCTTGAGCAGCAGCTCTTTGTCTAGGACGTCTGAGGAAGCGAAAGATGAAGTGAGTGGATGATTCGACTTGGCAGCAACATGGCTGACTGATCTGTGCAAAGGGTGTGCTTCACCTCGAAGTCCGCTTTGATGATGGCCGGGTCGACATCCGTCCGGTGTGGCAATCCGAGAACATGCTACAATTCACAGTGACACGGCACGTTGACGTACTGTTTGAGACTCTGAAAATGTGCATTTCAAATCCCGAAGCTTCCATTCAAGATTGCCTCAGGCCTACCGCACGGGATCTGGACGACATATGGGGATGGAACCACGAGCTGCCCCCTACGTACGACTTTTGCATGCACGACATGGTGTCAAAGCGAGCGCAAGCATCACCGGACAAGGTGGCTATCTCGTCCTGGGACGGCACCTTGACGTACGCCCAGATCGACAATTATTCGACATTCATAGCGTGCTCGCTGAAGGAGGCGGGCGTCAAGTTGCACGACGTCGTACCCGCATGTTTTGAGAAATCAAGATGGGCTATCGTCGCTGTGCTCGCCATAATGAAATCGGGCGCAACTTTTGCCCTCATGGATCCCACGCTTCCGCTTGCCCGCCTGCAGAACATGGCCGTTCAAGTGGGCGCGAAGGCGATGCTGACGTCGCGCAAGCAGCATGACCTCTCGACTGAGATCCTGCCGGCCGGGACGCACATTGTTGTCGAGGAGGACGCATTCGCAGGATTCTCCCCTCTGGATGTCCTTCCGGAGCTGCAACCCGTCCCACCGTCCGCTCTGATGTATATCATCTTCACGTCTGGCAGCACCGGCACTCCAAAGGGCGTCACAATCTCCCACAGAACCTACTCGAGCAGTGCCATTCCTCGGGCGAAAGCAGTCGGCTACTCGGAAGAGTCGCGGGTTCTCGACTTTGCTTCGTACGCTTTCGACGTCAGCATCGACAGCATGCTGCTCACGACCGGAAACGGCGGCTGTCTCTGTATTCCCTCCGACGAGGACCGGTTGAACGACATCAACGGCGTGATCCGCAACATGCAGGTAAACTACGCTGGTATCACGCCTTCGGTGGCCCGGATCTTGGAGCCGGATGTGATTGCCTCCCTGCACGGGCTGGGCCTTGGAGGAGAGGCAGCTGCGCCCAGAGATGTCAACCTGTGGGGCCGCGAGACCAGGATCATCATTGGTTACGGTCCTTGCGAATGCACCATTGGCTGCACTGTCAACAGTGACACTGCTACCGGCAGGGACTACATTTCCATCGGCACGGGTAATGGCGCTGCCATGTGGATCGTGGACCCGAACAACCACGAAGTGCTTGTCCCGGTTGGCGCTGTCGGCGAGCTGCTCGTGGAGGGCCCGATTGTTGGCCAAGGCTACCTTAACGACCCTGAGAAAACCGCTGCCGCTTTCATCGAGGACCCTGCTTGGCTTGTCGCTGGTCACAAAAACTATGCGGGCCGAAGCGGGCGTCTGTACAAGACCGGAGATCTTGGCAAGTTTGATCCTGATGGCTCCGGCGGAATTCTGTTCGCTGGCCGCAAAGACACGCAAGTCAAGCTTCGTGGCCAGCGTGTCGAGCTCGGCGAGATTGAGAGTCAGCTTAGAGCCAGGCTGCCGTCGGACACCAATGTGATCGCGGAAGTGATCGTGCCCCAGGGAGCCGGAGGTCAGCCAACACTGGTGGCATTCGTCGCGTCCCAGGCTACCAAGGGATACGTGGACAGCGAGCTTAGCTCTGTGCAACTACCCGGCGAACTCCGCGCTCAGCTTTCCACGGCGAATGCGGAGATGGCAAAGGTTGTGCCGCGCTACATGGTGCCGACCGCTTACATTCCCGTCAACCTCATTCCTGTCTTGATTTCGGGCAAGACGGACCGCAAGCGGTTGAGGCAATTTGGGCAGACGGTCGACTTGCGCCAGTTGGACCAGGGCACGACGACTACCACTCGCGAGCTCAGTGAACTCGAAAAACGGCTTCGGCAGGCCTGGAGCCAGGTTTTGAGTATCGACGCTGAGAGCATCCGGCCCGACGACAACCTATTCGCACTGGGCGGTGACTCGCTGGCGGCGATGAGGCTCGTGTCTGTCTGCAGAGCCGATGGCCTCGATCTCTCTGTCATCAGCACCTTTGCGAACCCTACGCTCGCGGCCATGGCCAACGTCGTGCAAATTATTGACTCAGAAGCACACACGGAGCTGTCACCGTTCTCTATGATCGCTCAAGACGTCGATAGCGCCCGTCTCGAGGCTTCTGTGGCATGTGCAACGGAGCCTGATGCCGTTGAAGACATTTACCCGTCCACGCCCACGCAGCAGAACCTCTTCACTTTTGCACTCAAGTCGGACAAGGCGTACATTGCACAACGCGTGGCTCGCATCCCGTCGGAGCTGGATCTCGATGCGTGGAAGCAGGCGTGGGAGGAGGTCGTTGCAGCCAACCCCATCCTGCGCAGCCGTTTGGTGCAGCTCCAGGAGCCGGGCCTTCAGCAAGTTGCCCTGAAGGAGGGTATCGCTTGGAGGGAGTCTGCGGATCTGGCGCAATACCTCGAGGATGACCGCAAGGAGAAGATGGAGCTTGGTCAGAGCCTTGCAAGGTACGCCATTGTCACGGCACCAGGCGATGAGCAGCGGTACATGGTCTGGACGATTCACCATGTCCTCTACGACGGATGGTCGGAGCCGCTGGTGCTCGAGCAGGTCAGGACCGCGCTGCAACACCAGCAACTCCAGATCCCGGCGCAGATGCGGGACTTTGTCGGCTGGGTGCGCAGCACCGACGAGGCCGCCATGCAGGACTTCTGGCGACAGGAGCTGAAGGGTGCTGTTGGGCCACAGTTCCCACGCTTGCCGTCCCGCGACTACCTCCCGACGCCCAGTGCCACCGTCGAGCGGCAGATTCCACTCGGCGAGGCGGGTGCTGGCTGGCCCTTCACCATGGCGACGCTGATTCGCGGCGCGTGGGCTCTCGTGGCTTCGCAGTACGCGGGCAGCGACGACGTCGTCTTTGGCGAGACGCTGACGGGGCGCGACATTGCGCTGGCCGGCGTCGAGAGCATCGTTGGTCCGCTGATCGCGACGGTGCCGGTGCGCATCCGCATCCAGCGCAGCAGCAGCATCGAAACCTACCTGCAGGCAGTGCAGCAGGACGTCATGGCGCGCACGCCCTACCAGCACATGGGCTTCCAGAACATCCGCCGCGTCAGCAGCGACGCCCAGCGCGCCTGCGAGACTGGCACCGGTCTGGTCATCCAGCCGGAGCCGGAGTACGTCGGCGACGACCTGGGCTTTGACCACGGCGACGTCGTGCGTGAGGCCCTTCACTTCAACGCGTACCCCGTCATGCTGGCGTGCGGGATCCGCAAGGGCGGCTTCCGCGTTTGCGTTAGTTTCGACAAGAGCCTCGTCGAAGTCAAACAGATGCGCCGCATGTTGGCGCAGCTGGAGACGGCGTGCTTGCAGCTGCTCAAGGGTCCGCTTTCCAGGCGCATCGATCAGGTCTCGTGCCTGCCCGAGGAGGAGCTGGACCAGATCTGGCGCTGGAACCAGGCAGCTCCTTTGGCCGTTGAAGAGGCTTCGGGGAGCTTGAGGGCGGATGCAGGCATCAAGCCTGGGTCCATCTACCCTCGTGCGGTGGTGCCTTGGGTGTGCGATTCGCGCAACCCTGAACTGCTGGCTCCATTCGGCTGTGTTGGCGAGCTCTGGCTCGAAGGCGCTTTCCTTCCCGGCGCGGTTGTCGATTCGCCGGCTTGGCTCATGGCAGGAAGCTCTGCTTGCGCTGGTCGGAAGGGTAAAGTCCTGCCGACTGGCGATATGGTTCGCTTGCAGGAGGATGGCAGTGTGGTGTTTGTCCGTCGCAAGGACAATGTCTTGAAGATCCAAAACCATGCTGTGGATGTTGCGGACTTTGACGCGCTGTTCTCGAGACATCTCCCGCCGACCGTGTTCGCCGCTGTGGCATTGTTCCAGTCGTCGGCGCAGCAGGAGCTGGTTGTCTTTGTCGAGCAGCCCGCCTTTGAGGACGATGGCGTCGAGGTTATCTCGGCGGCGCACGACGTCGCGGGCGTGCAGATTCGCGATCGCATCCCTGCCAGCCTTGCCGTGGCGCTGAAGAAACTCGACAAGGCCATCCAGGACTCGCTCGAGTCGTACATGGTCCCCTTTGCGTATGTCGTAGTCGACAAGATCCCGGCCGATCAAAAGACCCTGCCCCAGCTCGCCTCCTCGATCCCTCTCGAGCTGCTTACTGAGCTGCGCGCCGGCATCAAAGACGCCTGGACGAAGACGGCGCCGCAAGCAGTCCTGACGCCGGAAGAGGCCGTGCTGCGCTCCGCATGGGCGACCATCCTCGGCATCCCGGCCGCGGAGATCGACGTCGACGACAACTTCTTCCGCCGTGGTGGTGACTCGGTTCTCGCCATGAAGCTGGTGGCGAGCCTACGCACGCAGGGCCACAGGCTCTCGGTCGCGGACGTGTTCCAGTACATGCGGCTGGGCGACGCGGCCAAGGCGCTGAAGCTGGACCAGCGGGCTTCTGCGGCGGCGAAGGCGGCAAAGGCGCAGCCGTACGCGCCATTTTCGATGCTGGGGCCGGTGAATGTCGAGGCATTTGTCACGAAGCATGTTCTTCCGAAGCTGGCGGATCCGGAGTGGGTCGTCCAGGACGTGTATCCCGTGACGGATATGCAGGCGCTGGATGTCAGGGCTACAGTCGACGCGCCGCGCACTTCGGTCCAGTACACCCTGCTCTACTTCGACGCCAGCGTGGACGCGGAGCAGCTGCTGCGCGCGTGCAAGGAGCTCGTCCGCACGCACGACATCTTGCGCACCGTCTTCATCGAGAACGAGTCAGGCCAGCTGCAGCAAGTCGTCCTACGCGCGCTGGACCCCGCGCCAGTAACGACGCAGCAATCCAACGGCACGGGGCTCGAGCAGGCCGTCAAAGACCTCTGCGCCGCAGACGCGGACGCGCCGCTCCCGCTCGGCGCCCCCTTCACGAAAATGGTCCACGTCCAGGCCGACGACGGCACCAGCTGCCTCGTGCTGCGCCTCTCGCACGCCCAGTACGACGGCGTCGCGCTCCCACGCCTGCTGCGCGACCTCGAGGCGCTATACTCAGGCGCGGCGCTCGCGCCCTTCGCCCCCTTCGCGCCGTACCTTGCGCGCGCGCGCGCCGAGCCCGTCCGCGCCGCCGCGCTGGCCCACTGGCGCAGCGTCCTGGCCGGCAGCGCCGGGCCTTCTGTTCTCGTTGGTCCCCCCGATGCCGCTGCCAAAGAAACCAAGACCGCGGTCTTCCGCTCTGCGCCCGTGGACCTCGCGCGCCGCCCGGCAGAAGTCACGGAGGCGACGCTCCTGACGGCCGCGTGGGCGCTAGTGCTGGCGCGCAGGCTGCGCACCACGGACGTCCTGTTCGGCGCGGTGTCGGCTGGGCGCGGCGGGGGCGTGGACCTCGACGCGGTGGCGGCGGATGTTGACGTCGACGGCGTCGTCGGGCCCTGCTATGGTTTCGCGCCTGTGAGGGTCGTGTTCGAGCATTCGTGGCGCGCGCGCGACCTCCTGCGCGAGGTGCAGGCGCAGGCGGCGCGGGGCGCGGCGTTCGATTTCGTGGGGTTTGCGGACGTTGCTGGCGCTTGTGGCTTCGGTATCGAGTCTGGATCTCAAGCTGAAGCTGTGAAGAACGGCTGGTTCGACTCGGTAGTGCATCACCAGCCGGCGGGGGAGACGGACGAGGATTCCTTTCCTTTTGCGGAAGGGGCGTGTAGGGTGGGTCTTGAGAAGCCGGGCGGAGATGCGGCGGTGCCGTTGAAGGTGGTGAGTTTTGTGCAGGATGGGGGGGGGAGGTTGGGGGGGGTTGGGTTGGGTGAGGATGGTGAGGGTGAGGGTGAGGATGGGTTCGTGCAGGGCGTGCTTGGGGAGGTGGTGGCTGCTGTTGGTGAGCTGCTTGAGGGTGGTGGGGAGGGGGAGTTGGTGCTTCTTTGAGGGGGGTGGTTGGTTAGAGTTTGTTTGTTAGATTGGTGTAGGTCTTGTTTGTACGGCAATTTTTTTGTTTGGTTGTTCATTTGTTCATATTGCCCTCTTTCATGTTGGGTTTGTGTTCGCATTTGCGTTCTCTTGCTTTGGCTGCGGTATTATGTGCTCATTTCATTCGTATGTGAGAGCTGTGCTAACGGTTGTGATAGACACCACCCACAGCCATCATCTTCACTTCATGTTTACCGGTTCCACGGCAGACGGCAACCCACCGTTAATCGTCCACTACAACCACGCTCATTAGGAAAGACATCGAGAGCATGCTGCATATCAAGAACGAAAAAGAACATTGAATCTTATCTACATATCATAAAAAGTCCTCTATTCACTCATCATCATACAAAAAAGACATTACCGCTCCCCCCAAAACCCAACTCTACACCACCACCACCTCCTACGTCGCAACCGTCTGGTGCATAACATTGGCGCGATAGCTCTCGCTCCGCTCCAACAACTCGTCATGCGTGCCGCGATCCGTGCACCTGCCGCCATCGACGAGGAAAATGCAATCCGCCTTGCGGATCGTATGCAAGCGATGCGCAATCGCGACCACCGTCGTCCCGGCCTCGACGACCTTGTCCAGGCCCTCCTGCAACAGGCGCTCGCTCTCCGCGTCCAGCGCGCTCGTGCTCTCGTCCAGGATCAGCAGCCCCGGCCGCCGCACCAGCGCCCGCGCAATCGATAGACGCTGCTTCTGCCCGCCCGAGAACTGGCTCCCCGATGGCCCGCATAGCGTCGAGTACCCCTCGGGCAGCGCGGCTATCACGTCGTGGATGTTGGCTAGCTTGCACGCGGCCTCGATCTCAGCCTGCGAGGCTGTGTGCCCCGGCCGTGATCCGAGAGCGATGTTGAACGCCACGCTGCCCTCGAACAGCACCGACTCCTGCGGCACCAGCGACACGGTGCCGCGGAACGCGACGGATTTCGAGGCCGTGATGTCCGCGCCGTTGAGCAGGATGCGCCCCGTTTGCGGCACGTACATGCGCTCGATCAGCGAGATGATGGTCGACTTGCCGGCGCCGGAGGGCCCCACCAGCGCGCAGAATTGTCCCGGCTCGATCTTGATGCTCAGCCCGTTCAGGACCTTGATGTCCGGGCGCGCCGGGTACGAGAAGTGCACGTCGGCGAGCTCGACGCTGGCCGCCTGCGCGGGCTTGGCCTCGTGTCCTTCTGCCGCCGCTGCGTCGGGCACGGCGGCAACTTCACCGTCCTCGGCCTCGATTGCCAGTGGCTTGACGTGCCCGACCATGCCGCCCTCGCCCAGCTGGATCAGCGACAGGATGCGCGCCATGGCGGCGCGGGCGTTGGACAGCTCGGGCGCGAGCGCAAACATCTGGCTCCACAGCAGCGCCGACACCAGCAGCGAGAACACGACAATCATGAACTGCGTCTGGTTGTAGTTGCCCAGGATGATCTGCTTGGCGCCCCACCAGTATGCCAGCGCGTTGACCATGTTGCCCAGAAAGTACGTCAGCGCCTGCCAGAAGGACGCCTGCAGCGTCACGTTGAGCGTGTCCTTGCGCGGCGCGTCGAGTGAGCGCTTGTACGTCGCCAGCGTCTCGGCCTCGAGCGAGTAGCTGGCGATGGTCTTGATGGATGAGACGGCCTCGACGCCAATGTCGACCGAGTGCGTGTAGGCGTTCTCGTGCTTTTCTTCAAACTGGCCCAGCACGCGCAGCTCCATGAGGCCGGCGCCCAGCAGCAGCGGCACCAGGGCCAAGCACACGAGGGCGATGCGCCAGGCGATGATGTGGGTGAGGATGATGGCGGCGAAGAGGTTGACGGTGATGCTGAACAGGGTGCCGATGACGCTGCCACTGAAACCCGCCAGGGCGTTGCCGTCGCGCGTAATGTACGCGAGCAGCAGGGCGGGCGACCGGCCCTCGGACTGGTGCCACTGCAGGTCCTGCGCAAACAGGCTGCGGAACGAGAGCACGCGCACCGTGTACACGACCTTCTCCGACACCCACCCGAAGCCGGTCCAGCTGAAGATGTTGGCGAAGAACTCGATGATGGCCAGCACGAAGAACATCAGGCCCAGGAAGTCGCCGCGCGACTTGATGAAGCTGCCGCTGTGGCACGGCGACAGGCTGCCCACCGTGTTGCCGAAGATGACGGCTTCTCCGCTGAACGCCCCGCCCACCACGACCGACCCCAGCAGCGCAAACACGATGATCAGCAGGTGCGGCCGGATCGCGGGCCCGTAGCCTCGCACCAGCGCCCACATGGACTTTTTCGGCGTCTCGGGCTCGGGCTCGTCGCCGTCGTCTCCCTCGACCGTCTCCTCCTCGTGCGTCGAAAACTTTTCCTTGTCGTCGGCCACGCCAAGCCCGTCCCCGTCGTCCGACGTGCTCGACTTGCCAATCTCGTCGTCGCCAGCACTGATTCTCTTCGCTCCACCACCACCACCGACTGCCGCCGGCGCAGCCAGCGACTGCAGCTTCACCAGCTCCGCGTACGACCCGTCCTTGGCCATCAGCTCGGCGTGCGTGCCTTGCTCGAGGATCTTGCCGCGGTGCATGACGATGATGTTGTCCGCCGCTGTAATGGTCGACAGCCGGTGCGCGATGGTCAGAATCGTGCGCCCGGACGTGATGCCCGCAATTGCGCGCTGGATGCGCTCCTCGGACCGCGAGTCCAGCGATGCCGTCGCCTCGTCCAGCACCAGCAGCGGCGGGTCCTTGACCAAGGCTCTTGCGAGCGCCACGCGCTGCTTCTGCCCGCCGCTGATGAGCCGCCCGCTCGAGCCCACCGTCGTGCCGTACCCGTACTGCAGGTTGGTGATGAAGCCGTCGGCGTCGGCCAGCTCGGCCGCCCGCTTCACCAGTCGCACAATCTCGACGCACTCGGCGCCGCGCTTCTCGGCCGCGACGAGCATGTCAACCCCATCGTCGCGCATCTCGCGCGCCACCTCGGCCAGCTCGCTCCCCAGTAGCGTGGGCTTGAGGTGCGCGTGCACGGGGCTGGCGTCGTTGATCAGCCCGTGCGCAATGTTCTCGAGCAGCGACCGGTCCAGCAGCGACGGCTCCTGCTGCACCAAGCCCAGGAAACCTCGCACGTCGCGCGCGTGCAGCTCGCGCACGTCAATCCCGTCAAACAGGATCTCGCCCGCCGTGGGGTTGTACAGGCGCGTCACCAGCCCGGCGATGGTGCTCTTGCCGCTGCCCGACAGGCCCACGAGCGCCGTGTGCTTGTTCGGCGGGATGCTGAAGCTCACGCCGTCCAGGACGGTGATCTCGGGCCGCGACGGGTACGTGAAGGACACGTTCTTGAACTCGAACCCGGCGCCGGCCGCCGGGAGCGCGAGGTTCGACGTCGTCGTGCCGTCAATTTGCGGCTCGCGGTCGATGTCGCCGCGGAGCTTGTGGAACGCGCCCACGGCTGCCGAGAAGAGGTGGATGAAGGGGGCGACTTGGCTGAGGAGGAGCGTTGCTGTGGCGTGTTAGTGGTGGAGCTCCATCAATCACGTGGTATGTAAGTAAGTCTTGGGAGTGGAGAAGCTTACCCTCGACCAGGATGAAGATGACGGTGAAGACGGAGCCGACAGTCGTGCCCTGGGAGCCCGTGCCCACGGCCTCGGCGACGCGCTTGCTGCCCTGCCAGAAGGCCAGACCGTTGGCCGAGTAGGCGATGAAGTACAGGAAGCCCGTCTGGATGCCAATGGCCGTGGCCTTTTTGATGCCCTCCTGCTCGGACGACTTGAGCGCAGTGGAGAACTTCTCCTCGAGCCGGGCATTGGCGCCAAACGCCTGGACGACGACGATGTTGTTAAGCGCCTCGGAGGCTATCGACGCGGCCGACGCGGCGTAGTCGGACATGAGGCCCGTGTACTTTTCGATGTAGTGGCTGCCGACAAAGGACATGATGAAGTAACAAGGGACGAGGGAGACCAGCATGCCGGCCAGCTCGGACTGCTTGATGAAGGCGACGATGTAGGCCGTGATGAAGAAGGACAAGCTGGAAAGACAGATGCCGACCTTCTCCGAGGTGCCGGACCGAATCGTCTGGATGTCGCTGTGCAGGCGCGACGCGACCTCTCCAGGGGGCAGGCCATCGAAAAAGGACGGCTCCTGGCGCAGCAGGTTCTGCAGGTAGTTCTCGCGGAGACGCTGGGCCAGGCGGGCGCCGGTGAGGGTCCAGCACAAGAGATGGACGTAAATGAGAACGAATTGGGCAATGGCCAGGTAGACAATGATGAGGATCTTGTCGTTGATGCCGGACTGGTACCCGGAGCCCCCTTCTTCCGAGTCGGACCCGCACGTCGCACCGTTGAAGTCGTCGAGCAGCTGGCCAAAAATGATGCCAATCAAGGGGAAGGGCACGCCGGCCGCGATGGAGCCGGCGATGCCCACGAGCAGCGTGGCCAGGTCCGCTGTGGAGGGGTTGCCCGCCAGCAGCAGGGTGGGGAAGCCCGCGAGTTTCTGGACGGCCTTCATCTCGCTGGATGTTTCTCTACTGTCTCGGGGCGGTTAGGAACGTGTACTATCGATCGGACTGATACATTTAAAGAGTGGCGGCAACAGCGGGCAATTACCGGACGACAAAGGCGCTGTGGCGCTCGTGTGACGGGTCCCTTGACGAATTGGCGTGGCTCCTACGCACATAAGGACTCGGGAGGACCGAGGGGAGTTAAGGGCCAAAGGAGTTATCGCAAGCGGGTTTTGTACTGCATCTGACCATCCGATGCTGGAGTGCGCAGCGGTGGGGCCTTGATCAGATAAGATGTGTCAAAGAATCGCAGGCATAGGCGTTCCGTGGAAACCAGGCCAATGGCGCTCCATCTTTGCGCCGAACGCGGGCCGCCAGGTTTTTTCGGTTTTTTTTTTTCCTTCGCTTAATAGCCACGCACGAGTCACACCACGAGCTCCATTATCGGCGACAATCTGATCTTTGGTCTTTAGCGGCTTCCTGGATTAGGGCCCAGCGGCGAGGAATGCCGGTGGGGCCCACACCTTGGGCTTGGGGCCGCGTGGGCTCTTAAAGATGTGCTTTAACGCCTACTAACCACGCCGGCCGACAGTCAATCGATTCTTCCCTTTTTATCTATTGTTCCAACAGCAACGGACACCCTTGTTGTCGTTGTCATCCCTACTGCCCATCATGGCCTCGACAGCGCCCAAGGCCAAAGGGTTCTTGAAGAAGTTCTTCCCAACCAAGGAAGACGAGCCGTCGTCGTCGTCCTCGCCGGGCACGGCTTCCAGTGCCACGACCACTGGCGAGCACGATGTCAAGGACCATGCCGAGGTCGACGTCAACCAGACGCCCAGCGAGGACTTGAACGCACCCAATGAAGCCGCGCAGGACGGTGTCAAGCAGGCGGAAGCCGTGACGCTGACCTGGACAAAGGGCTCGTTGGCCGCCGTCTATATCCTGTAAGTGCATGCGTGCATTCAATGCTTTTTTTGTGTTGCGAGGAAAATCAATTGACAACGAAATCAGCATGTGGTGCTTGTACCTTGTCAACGCCTTCCAGTCGCAGATCACAAACAACCTGTCGGCGTACATCACCAGTGGCTTCGAGTCTCACTCGCTGATTCCCGTCATCGCGACCGTGTCCAGCGTCATGGGTGCTGCCACGTACATGCCCGTGGCCAAGATCCTAAACTTGTGGGATCGTTCCATTGGATTTGCGCTGATGGTGCTGTTTGCCACGGTGGGGTTGATCTTGTCGGCCGTGTGCAAGAACATTGCTACCTACTGCGCTGCTCAAGTATGCATTTTTCTTTTCTTCTTTATATTTGCGTTCATCCGTCTGGAAAAAAGATGAAAGAGATGGAAAATGAAAATGAACGAAAACTAACAGTGTGACAGGTTTTCTACAGCGTCGGCTTCGCCGGCCTCATCTTCTGTATTGATGTCGTGACGGCTGACACCTCGTCGCTGCGTGACAGGGGCTTGGCATACGCCTTCACGTCCTCGCCCTACATCATTACGGCGTACGCGGGCCCGGCCGCGGCCGAGAGGTTCCACGAGGGCAACTGGCGTTGGGGCTACGGCTGCTTCGCCATCATCCTCCCCATCGTCGCGGCGCCGCTGTTCGGCCTGCTGCGCTACAACCGCCACCTCGCCAAGCAGAGGGGCCTTCTCGTCGAGAAGGAGAAGAGCGGTCGCACGCCTATGCAGAGCTTGTGGTACTACACGATACAGTTCGATGGTGCGTTTTCCTGCCTTCGTTTTTGATGTGTTCTTTATACTGATTGGGTCCGTCAGTCCCCGGTGTCATTCTCTTGACTGCCGGCCTGGTTCTCTTCCTCCTGCCCTTCACGCTCGCCGGTTCGGCTGCCAACGACTGGAGGACGCCGCACATCATCATCATGCTGGTCATCGGCATCCTGTGCCTGTTTGCGTTCGCGGCCGTCGAGCGCTGGGTGGCGCCCGTGCCGTTCTTGCCGTGGGAAATGCTGGCCACGCGTACCGTTCTCGGCGCTTGCCTCGTCGACGCCACCTACCAGGTCGCGTACTACTGCTGGGACGACTACTACACGTCGTTCCTGCAGGTCGTGTACGGCACCAGCATCTCCAAGACGGGCTACATCACGTCCATCTTCGACGTCGTGTCGGGCGTCTGGCTGCTGGGCGTGGGTCTCTGCATCAAGAAGACGGGCCGGTACCGGTGGTTGCTGCTGTGGGCCATCCCGCTGTACCTGCTCGGCGAGGGCCTGATGATCTACTTCCGGCAGCCGCACTGGTCCGTCGGCTACAACATCATGTGCCAAGTGTTCCTGGCCTTCTCGGGCGGCACCATGATCATCGTGCAGCAGGTGGCGGTGCTCGCGTCGGTCGACCACAACAACGCCGCCTCGGCCCTCGCCTTCCTCAACGTCTTTGGCAACATGGGCTCCGCCGTCGGCAGCTCCATCTCCGGCGGCATCTGGACCCACACGCTGCCCAAGGCGCTGCGCCGCCTGCTGCCCGAGGCCGACAAGGCCGACTGGGAGGCCATCTACGACGACTTGGACGTCCAGCTTAGCTACCCCCGCGGCACCCCGACCAGGCACGCCATCAGCATGGCGTATGCCGATGCGCAGAGCAAGATGCTGATTGCGGGTACGGCGATTATGGGCCTTTCGCTCATCTGGATGTTCTTGATCAAGGACTTGAAGGTCACCAAGGCCCAGACCAAGGGCGTGCTGTTCTAAGCTAGATTGGTAGGTAGAGGGTTAGCAGTGCCGGGTTTTCCGACACAAGTTTGTTTGATTGTTTGTGGATATCGAACTACCTAAGGCATGGAGGGGAGGGGTTTATGCATGCTTGCTTGTATAGCGAGAGAGAGAGTTTCAGCTACCTAAATTAATGCGCAACGAAGAAGAAAATCAAATCAAATCAAATCAAATCCATGACGAAACATCCATCATCATCATCATCACCAAGTGAAAAGAACAATTCCAGCCAGGCCCCCCGCGCGGGTTATCGTATCGTTAGTTATGTTACATACATACATACATACATACATACATACACGCCGCACACACACCCCGGCCACCTGATGAAGTAATAAGGTTATCAGATCCGTTGCCGTTACGTAGAGCCCTGGCCCGTGCGTAAGCCTTCGATCAATCCTTGATCCGTCATCTCAATGGCGCAGGTAGCTAGACCCTTGGCGTTACGTGCTGGAATCTTATCAGATTTTGCGCTGGCGTCTGCAATCTGGGTCGGTCGGGCAGCGGTTGGACTTGGCGATGGGCCCGGGGGGCCCCGCTTTTTGACGGAAATTGCAAAAGTGGATGTTTGGATGGGAGGGTGAAAAATCTTATCAGATCGGGCGCCAGGTCGTGTCGTGGCTTTCCTGGAAAAGCATGGACGGCGTCTTGCCTGTCCGACACCGTCGTCGTAGCGATGGGACGGACTTGGGACAGGGTCCTGGGGTTCTCCTGCCCGATGTCGGTGTGGTAGGCTAGATCCGACCTCGACCGCCCATCGACCTCCCTCGACCAGGACCTGCAGCTTGCGGGCTTGCGGGCTTGCCAGGGACCTCCGTGCTTCGCTTCTTCCACACCCCCTCCCCCCACGCACGGGCTATGTAGGTGTGCCCGCGCGCGCGCGAACCTAGCTGCTGCTGCCCCGTATGACGTGCTGGCGTATATGAGGCGGCGTGTTCTTTTGCGGCCGCGGCTCCACCGGGTTGTCGGTGTTGACTTTGACTTTGACTTGCTTGCTTCTGTCTTGACGCTTCCCCGATCTTGACCCCGATATCGTCGCCTTCGTCTGCTTTGCCATTGCGATCGAACCAAACACTCACACTCAATCAACTCCCGCCATGAGCCCCTACTCCAAGTTCTGGCCCAAGGGCGGGCTGCCCGGCATCCTGCACCACTACGTACGCCGCCTCTACTCCCCCCGTCTCCCCCGCGCATGGCGAGAGAGTAACTAACCAACCCTTCCCCCCGCGCAGACCGAAACCCTCACGACCTTTGAATTCACGCCCTCGACCGCCCGCAAACCCCACTCGCTCGTCTTCATCGGCGGCCTCGGCGACGGCCTCGCAACAACCTCGTACCTCTCCGACCTCGCCCGCGCCCTCAACCCCACCGACTGGTCGCTCTTCTCCCTCACCCTCACCTCCTCCTACCAGTCCTGGGGCCTGGGCCACCTCGACCGCGACACCGACGAGATCGCGCAATGCCTGCGCTACGTGCGCGACTACAAAACCGGCCGCTTTGGCAATGGCAAGCTCGTCCTCATGGGCCACTCGACCGGCTCGCAGTGCGTGCTGCACTACCTCAGCCAGCCGAACCCGCACACCAGCGCCCCGGTCTTCGACAAGGGCCTGCAGCACGTCCAGCGGCCCGCCCTCGACGGCGCCATCATGCAGGCACCCGTCTCGGACCGCGAGGCCATCCACTGGGTCCTGCAGCAGGGCTGGCTGGGCAAGTCCCCCGCCGACACGCGCAAGGTCTACGACCGCCTCGTTGCCATGGCGCGTGAGGCCACCGCCCCCGGCAAGGACCAGTCCTTCGACGCGCTGCTCCCCGTCGAGCTCACCAGCCAGATCGCCTACCCCGCCAACACGCCGCTCAGCGCGCGCCGCTTCCTCAGCCTCGTCAGCCCCGAGAGCCCGCACAACCCCGGCGAGGACGACATGTTCAGCTCGGACCTGCTGGACGAGAGCTTGAGCCGCACCTGGGGCATGGTGCGACAGCGCGGGCTGCTGGCCGCCAAGGCGCGCCTGATGGTCATGATCTCGGGCGCGGACCAGGCGGTGCCCGACTGGGTGGACAAGCAGGGCTTGCTGCGCCGATGGAAGGGCATCGCGGATGCGGGCAAGGGCGATGGCGAGCCCGTCTGGGACGACGACTTTAGCGGCGTCATTCCTGGTGCTAGCCATGCGTTGAGTAATGACGACCAGGCGGGGCCGCGGAAGGATCTCTGTGAGCGCGTGCTGGGGTATTTGTATGCGGCCGAGCAGGCGTGAGCGTTTATGGTGCTTTATGAATTAATTGGTTCTTTGTCATGATCTGCTTGCTTTTTCTTTGTTTGCGCACCTAGTGACAGCCAACATGATTGTGGTGTCAAAACAAACAACCCCGCCCCCACCTCCAAGCCACGAAGTCAAGTGAAGTGAACTTAGTGAAGTCCAACAAGAAGCCCTAAGCAACTAGGTAACAATCAGCAAGTGGGCACCCAGCACACAGAGGTGGGGCCAGCAAATGTCAACCGCCAATCGCCCTAACCATCCGATCAACGATCAACAATCAACAATCAACGATGAACAAACGCGTGGAGACGCGCACCTGCAGTGTGGGGGTGCTCAGGCCAACCGACCAATCACGCTCCTCCGAACTCCGTAAGCACTGATGCTTTTTGCAAACGCTATCGATCTCTACCTACCCAGTCGATCACGCTTCCGCTTCCCCGGAGTGGGCCTGCCTGCTCTTAGCTTGTCTGATGTAAAAGTAACAGACCCTCTTGCTGTTCGTCTGGGGCTTTAGTCTTACTCACTGGCCCCCACTACATGGCACCGTTGGCGTCAAGTGCGAAAACTAGACCCTGTTTTGTGCTTCTGCCTGTGGATACGGGGCGCTGACGTGCGGGGATGTTCAATTCTTGCCTTCTTGTTGCCGGCGCTTCCTTCGTTTTGCCCTCGCAATGTGTTCGGGACTCGGTTTCTGCTGGTCTTGAGTATAGTGACGTACGTGGATGTGAATGTGGATGGGGCGCTAGCGCTGGCGCTGGCGAGGCTCTATGAGGGGGGGTGGTGTGCTGTGTTTGTTCGTGCGTGATATGTCGTCAGGTAGTCGGCTTTTTGGTTTGGACTCGGTCGTGTTGCGCTTGTGGGTGAGTGAGGAAGCTGGTATAGATTTGAATTTTGTGCTTTGTAGAGAAGAGATGTTCATTTTTGAGGGTTTCGTAGCCAGCGCTGCCCTATTGTCGTAGTGGGAGTTGCGTGGTACGGAGCTCTGTTCGGCTTTGTTAGGGTTCTTTATTATTAATTGTAGGTCTGTAAATGTAAGCGTGGAAGGTAGGGAGAGAATGGAATTGTTTCTGTAGATTGTGCTGGATGTCTTTGGTTTTGCTGTTGACGGTCTAACATTCTGTGTTTAGGTTTTTACATCTATATATATGGAAGACCGAAATCTCAAGTTATATCTACTGCAGAGTAAAAGAAAACTAGTCTCTCGTTTTAAATAGCCTTGTCAGCCAGGATCACTCCGATAACTCTCGTTTTTTCAGCCTTATTACAGTCAGTTGTTACACAACAGCCTTACCCCCTGCACTACTCATTTATCTACTGCAAGGAAGCAATGATCTCAAAGAGAAAACGTGTTCTTTTTAGATAGCAGCATATATACCTCCATAGGTAGTAGTAATTTAGGAGGACAAGCGGCGTCCAATTCCTCGCGCCCAGCTTCACAAGCCTTTATAGAGTTTTAAGAGCCATAGCGTTCATCTCGACCTAAGGAAGCTTTTAAATCAATTTCGAGAGTGTTTCTAGAAGTTATCTATTAAGACGCCTTTGCTTTGCTACAGCCACCACAAAAATCTTCGGGGGAAATCGATTGTGAAAAGAACATTTCAGAGCAAGGTTTTAAGAATAAAATGTTGCTTTTCCATTATCCTGTGAGATACCTATTAGCCTCTACCATTTTGTAAAAAATACGAAGAAAAGATGTGTGCAAGGAAACGGAGTTTTCTACACCAATGGTCTCTATATAAACAAAGTGAAAAGGGATCTCAATATAGTGGTCTTGTGCTATATCGTTTATATCATTTGTATGTTTAAATATTTAGCCCCACTAAATCCGAAAGTATGATCGTGTCAATCTCTAACGCAATATTTGTCTCATTATTAAAGCGTCTGCGACCGCAAACGCATTCCCGTCTTATTACTTTGCGGTTGGGGAGTCTTCTCTTTGATCTCTTCGACGTCAATCAACTGCCATCCGCTCCCTCTGCGTTGTAGCCGCACTCGCATATCTTTCGAAGTTGAATACATGTCGTCTTTCATCATCTTGCTTTCCTGCAAATCGCATCCTTGGCCGAGCCCGTGGAATATTGGCGCCAACGCTGAAGATTTCCAGTCACCTTTCCACTCGTTCTCCCAACTCTGGAACATGACAGCGACGAAGAAACAAAATGAAAGTACCATGAGCATAGCCGGGAAACTGATCCATGCCCACCGAACGTGAATACAGGTCTGCTGGCTCCATGCCTTGCCGAAGGCGTATCGTGTGCTCTCGGGCCCAGTGGCACTATGTCGTATTTGAGCTGTCATGGCCTCGGCGATGTTCTTCCAATAACTATTGACTGTGTCCATAGTGGCGCTGCCGTTCTGGTAGAGTAATTGTAGCCATATGTTACTGTAGATAATATTGACATCCTCAGAAGGATAGTGGTATAGTTGATTTCCGTTGTACATTCCAGATAGAAAGTCCCTAATGGCTCGACTAGTATAGTAGTCCATGTTCCACACACAGTCTCTAGGATACCAGACCTTTTCTGGTGGATAATGAGGCCTCATATAGTAAGTATCCAGTTTCCGGCCATGGATAGTCTTGTCCCTCAAGTCAACAAGAACTGGAGTGTTCTCGCTGTACTCCTGGGATTTCTCGCAATCGCGCCACTTGCCATCCCGCAAAATTTGTTTGGAAGCTAGCGAAAAGTCCCCATCCTCGTCCGAAGCGAGAAATTCCACACCCCGCTCTATCTCTTTATAGTCTCCATTTGTTACATTTGCCCCATAAGTTTTCAAGCATGGCCGTAATGAACATCCGACAGCGAAAGGGGTTGGACTGCAGGGCTCTTGCCAGCAATCCGAGTGATTCTTTCTTAAAAGTGCTTCGATTTCCCAGAGATTAGACGGTGCCGGATGGTGGCTGCTTATTGAATAGGCTTTGCATTTAGAGTCGTTACAAGGTGTCAAGGATATTGATCTGTTCTCTCTAGAGAATACGGGAAGTTCGTATTCTTTCGCACTAGAGTTCCATGTCACCTCGTTAGATATATCTTGACAAGAATGACAAATCGCTAATGTCTGGAAAGCTCCGCTGTCTTCTTCAGCGAATGTGCAATTTTTTGTCAGGCACTTAACTGCTAGAGGTGCGGACGCATTTGCTAGAGAACTAAATAAACCCGTGTAAAATGCAAGCTGTATGGACGAATCAAGTTCATTGCCGACTGAGTTAATGCCGCCCGGAGGTCCATGAATATGATAATTATTGGTTCTCGGAATTTGGGCTTTCATTCCATCCACTGGCTGAAGACAGCTGTGGTATTTGATTATTTCCTGTGAGAAAGGATCGATAGCAAGTGAGGCGATAGTAATTACTGCGCCAAAGCTAGCAAGGTGACTATATAATATGGTTTGTGAGCTTCAAATACCTGTGAATATATCTAGAAGCGGAGGTTGTATCCACTTACTAGCCGCGTCTCCCAATACAGTAATTGAACAAGAGTCGAAGAGCACCCCAGGGTCCACGGCTTGCCAGGTCGAGGCGCTCGATGTCAGCTAGCTGCTGTGGCTTACTGAACCACAACCACTTGAACTGACTGATCCCCTCTACCACGGGTAAAAGCATACATGCTTTGAAGATTGCCGTAAACGTAGCAATGAGAGAGTTGATGGATATCAGGTGAGGCCATTGTGGGAGCGGCTGATTGTCGTGAATTAAAAGTGTGATGAGTATTGCCATTAAGGCAATAACTGCCAAAGCAAAACTAAGAACCTCGATGGTCCACATGGAAAGGCTTTGCTGGCTGTACCATTTGGCTTTATTGGTTGGTTGATCAGCAATAGAGTCGCTAGTCCCGATGAGCTGGATTTCAAAATCATTGGTCTCCTGAGGCTGTTGTGAGAGACTGCTGTGCCGGGAAAGTAGAATGTCGCCCATAGCGGAAGCTTTAGCAACAAGTAAAAAGCCATTGGCAGGATGGATGTCAATTATATAGATGGTTACTGGCGCTGCAAAGTGACGTCAGCTAATCTTACACGGCATCAGCTTGTCAGGCAACAACATGCAGTTACCTGCAGACCCCGCACTCTCAAATCAAGAATTTATCGCTATTTCTTAGACAATCAGGAACGCCTCCCGCTGAAACTTTGGCAAAGGAATCGACTTCGGCCACTCAACCACGCCTATCCAGTACCACGGCTGCTGATTCTCTTCGGGCATGGAATACCGCATCAAAATCCCGTCTTCCATACCATGCGATGCAACAACAGCAAGCACAGTGCCGTCAGCCTTGCCACGGTAGAGAACTGGATCAACAGAAGTGCTTCGCTCGTAATCCGCAGGAGCAAGCAGTGCGCCCCAGTAAAACCGCCTCGGTATCATCGACGCAACGCGCCGTAGCATGCGGAACTCCGCGCTGGTGCCTTGCATACCCCAGTCCCAGATTACGTGAGGCCAAGGCGGGTGTGCGTCGAAAACACGGGAGACCCACTGTCCGCTCAACCCATCTTCGTTGATCCGCGCGTATTCAGTGTCGACGCCATCGAAGGCAAAATGGAACGTTTCACGCTGCCACCACCGCTTCCGTTCCGGTAGGTCTGGGCGGCATGGCGCCCACCCAAAACCTAAATTTTCCTCACTCTTGTAGCCAATACGCGGACTGCTCGAGATCAAGAAGCCAGTAGGGACGTGGCTTCCAATGCGTAACTTCCAGAACTTGAGCGCATCTGAGCCGACAGTGACTGATAGCGTAAGGAGACTCCAAATGACGACTTCGTCGCCGGGGCGGGATGCGTGCCGGTGGCTGAGGTTGTTGGCCGCATCCTCGACTTCCATACCTCCCCAGAAATGATCGCCTTCGGCTTTAGTGTCCCCGGTCGGAGCCGAATACAGTCCTCGCGGTAAGAGGTGCTGGGCTGTAAGAAACAGCACTGCAATTGACATGTTGCCTTTGTCGTAGACGGTCTTCAGTATGTCTCCGAGCCTGAGCACTGCGTCATTTTTGCAAAGTAGAAAAATGTTGTCGCGGCCTTTCACTGACTCTAGATATGTCCATGCTCTTACGTTCCAGTCACAGACTAGCAGTGCTGAGAGGATAGACTCTTGTCGCTCTACTGTCAGGTCACTGACGTCTATGCTCATTATGTCGCGGTCGCACACCAAGGTTACCTTGCTGTTGGTAAAGATGTTGTTTATTTCCATTATGGCTTCATGTCTCAGATCATGGTCTTGTGGAATACAGGGCGTATCCATCCAGTACGAGTCGCATCCAAGAGATCTGGCTATTCTTCTGTAGCGGTGATGCAAACAGGTGTTAAACCCTGTGCCCTCTGCTTCGGGCCTTCCGCCTTGCCCATGACTCCAAACATGCGAGATGGCCATGGTTGTATCCGATGCTTTGCAATACCAGAGTAAAGAATGTTGCTCTTTGGTATGCACAATAGAAACGGCACGAGCCCCAGATATATTCCTGTATGAATATTCGTCCCAGTAAAGTCGAGGACAGTTGCCTCGACATGGCAAGGCATGCGCAGATTGGTTGGTGATTTTCATGCCTCTAAACCTTTGACATTGTGTTGGATATTTTCCTTTGCATTGCTTGGGGCCCAAGTTCTTCATCAGAGACCCACGGTTGACAATGCACCGTGGCGGCAAATGACCGAGAACAGCATTATAACGCTCGTGAAATACCCGGAAGTCTTGAGCCACCGCCGCACGGTCGGTCCGTAGTAATTCAAAGGCCCAGCTACACATGTACTCCGCTTTTGTCCCAGAAGAGCTTTGGACCGATTTGGATTGTAAAGCTTCCCTTAATGAAGCGTTTAGTTGGACGCCAAGGACGAGACTCCTTTCCCGATGGTTGGGACTCACTGACGTAGTTTCGCTCGTCAGCGTGTAGTAGAAGTTCAAAAGGACTGCTCGCTGCCAACCGGTCCACAGAAACTGCCGTAGAATAGCCAGTTCAGTAATTGGAAGCTGTGAAGAGGAAGCCTGCTCAGAAGCTACCCCAAAGAGCTCCCCAATGAGGTCGATGTATTCCACGATCTTGCGGTTCCAGATATGTCGCTCTTTTCTTGATTCAATAACAATAAGCATTGCAAGGCGAATAATGTTTGAGTCCACAAATCTCACGACCCTGAGATTTTCCCAGAATTGCGGCGATCCTTCGACAAAGAAACCGGCATAAATGTTGGACGTTGAAGGTGTGTCGATGCCCAGCATTGGTGGCACTGCAGGTAGTCGTTCGAGGAGGTGGCATGTCTCTTTGACAACACTGTCCATTCCCTCGGGAGGTTTGAAATTAAACTCAAGAAGTTTGGTGAAAGAAGCGTCCAGGCAATCCACGTGACCAGAGTGATCTTGAAGAGCATCGCAGTATGTCTTGACTTCATTAAATGCCCGCTTTCGTCGATCGACCGTGTTATAACCAATGAGATTTGCGCCCTCATCGAGCTCATGCTCTGTAGACCAAACGGTGTACGGGATCGGAATCAGTTCGTATTGGGGTTGCGGGTCTGAGTCGGAAAGAGATCCAAGATTTCTGATTTTGTTTGCAACTTTGTAGGGAACTTCTCTCAGAATCCTTTCGACTTTTTCTTGTGTGAAGGTCACCGAGCTCATCGATAATAGTGGATACATGATGGAGGTACGTTGAAGTAAGTGTAACGCACATTTAGAGCTTGGCAAAGCGATGCGGGGTAGCGAAGGCTGAATCAGCCTTGATATGCTGGGGCCTTATAAAGGCGCGACCCATCTAAAAATAGGTATGCGGATCACAGAATTCCTGCGCCTCTTTTTGTGACATCTCACAGCACGGTTGATGTGGGGGCCAAAGCCGAAGCCCGTCTGATTTGGTCCATTTCGCCGAAGTCTAGGTGTTTTCCTAGCGAAAAGATATTCTAGGTATGTTGTTTCCAAGTCGCTAAACAGATTTTTTGCTTAGTTCCTCTCTAAGGACATTTGCCGCGGCCATTGAAAGCCCGAAGCTCCTTTCGATTGAGTTCAAATCCTGAGGAGAGAAAGAATTGGCGTCGATTTTTTGCCCATGTATTCTTTTTAACCAGGCATCTCGCCTTGGATGCGGAGGAAGAATGTCGTCCATCCAAGAGGTGACTTTCGTGTCACTGAATATTTGAATGGCACCCAGCATGGCCATTCTCCCAGTGAACTTGAACGTCTTTACTTCAACTTCAACGCCCTCCTTGTCAAGCCAATAACGTGCAAGGCCTGCTTCCCGGAAACCCCAACGAAGAAACCAGTTCAAAGTCAGGAGAAAGACGAGAAACATCCCGTCCCAGCTCTTTTGTGCGGCTACGTACGTCATTCCTAGTAACTGTAGTATGTGCGCGGCCTTCAACCACCAGGTTGCTAGTACCACTCTCGTGCTCGGTTGGTTTGGAATCATGAACATAGCCTTGTTCAGCAGCGAGTCCACAACGCCCCTGTCTCCGGTATATAGATGCCACTCCATCGCATTTACATGCGTTGCCACGAGCATGCAGGCGTCATGTGCCTCATTGTTCCCCAGATAGCCAGGTGGACGCTGTATAGTGATGATTTGTAGGACCAAGCGGGAAACGGCACTGCAGAAAATGATCGCCGCTGTTCCGTACGCGCCGCAGAGACCAAGGGCGACGGCAGTTCCAACAAGGAGGACGAATGATGCGATGTGACTAAACCTCGATAATTGCCACTCGTCCAGCCGTCTCCCGATTGACTTTTTCCGTCGCATTTGTCGACCAAAATAATATACATGCAAAGTTTGATACCGGCGGAAGTGCGATGGCGCAGTGGGTTTTTCCGTTGTCGAGTCCGCTACCTTCGAATCTCCGCCCAAATTCCAAGTGCTTGTTCCGCTATCGTAGCGCTCTGGCGACAGCGGCAGAGACGACGGCAGCGTTTCGGGCATCAGGATCGGCGTCCGCTTACCCTGGCCCGCTCTCGCGTATCTCGCAATGACCGCACTGGCGGCGCCGTTGGCACAAGGAAATATGCTTCCCCAGCGAACATCCCAAACTGTGCTACTGGAATCACCGCGCGTGCTGGCCTGGTCGAGAAACTCGGCTGTGCGGTCGAGTAAGCGTGCGATGCCGGCGAGTGTGCCTAGCTTTGGGAACAGCCCGATCGACACACGCCCCAGTAGCGCAACGTCACCGGCTGTGAGGTAGTCGTCACGATGGCTGGCCAGATGGACGACGAGTGGCATTATTGCTGCCCATTCCGACACGATATTTGGCATGGCCGGGAGCCGAAACATCGGGGCGGTATTGAGCGTCCCTAGCTGCGGTCCGATGTCTGTGGAGTAGAGATCCGACATGATTGTGGGGTATTGTAAATGTAAGTTTTGATCGCAGCTGGGTAGGTGGAGGTTATCAGGGTGGTTGTGTTTCGGTCGAGAAAACTGTTGGGGGAGGCTGACATGGCCCCCAAAATGACAAAAGCCTGCGCTGCAGCCTCGTAAACGATACCATGCAGCTACCCCGACACGTAAGACAATATCACGTCATCCACATTGCTTCTTTCTCCGATAGGTTAAGCGTTTAAATTGAAACGACCATTAACATTCGCGCGTGTAGTAGTGCTAGGTTGCATACCAACAGTTTTGCCTCCAATCAAGACTGCTTTCAAGGTAGCAGTTTCATACTTTCGCTTAAAGCTACAGTGTTAGAATCCTAGAAAGAACGCGTTAGCCATACGCATTAGGCTTCAGAGCATCATACCAAAACTACAGTCGGTAGTTTTGAAATTTCTTTACACTACTTCTTAGTTCAAATGTCCCTTACCAATCGCGTGGCTACCCATGGATACAAATAATTTCTCTGCCACCAATTTAGACTGCAAATTACGATTAGAATGCTAAAAAGCTATCCATTTAAAGAAGCGAAGAAATCGAAAACTTACAAGCTCTTTCGGCCCGCAATGCGCGGATGTACTGCCCAGCTTCCTCCGACGATAGCGATGTGCTTACCATCCAAAAAGTCGGCTTAGAGCCTCGATCAGTACGCTCTTGCATTTCCCAGTCATGAAATTACGTACCGCTGTATCCCGGATATATGTCCATGGGTTTAAAACCCGGTTGTGGAGCGAAAGAATCGCTTGTCCATTCCCAGGCGCCGCCAAATTCCCCAAGTCCACAGAGACGACTTCCATTCTGCGTCACTGGCGTTGGATGAAAGTTTTGGAAGCCCACGTTCGCATTTCCGAGATCCACAAAAACAGCCTCCGAGTCGGTATGGAACGTCTTGTTGACGGCCGAGTCGGGAGCCTTACGCGTTCTCTCAACGTACTCATGGATGCTGCGTACTTCATGTAATGTGGGTATTCGTGCACCGACCCATTTGGCATATCCTGCAACTTCATTGTAGGACGCGGTTGCGGGCCAGTCCAGCGCTTGGGAGAGTGGAAGTGGGCCCCATACTGTTCGGATACCGTGACGAGAGATGAATGCTTGGAGAGAATCTTGCTTGTTCCTATCAAGCCTTGAGCTTGTCGCTTTGTCTAGACCATTGATGTTGATACAATGGTTCCCGTCGGTATGGTTGGAGTTATCCGAATCAACCCAGGTCACAGGGATTTGTTCGATACCCGTATCTACAAGGTAGGCTGCAAACTCTCCGACACTGACAGGGCGAGCTTGTGCCTCGAAGCTTTCAACTTGGGCGTTATACGGCTTTCGCTCATTGTCCCAAGCAAAGAATCTATTTGGCCCGTCGTCGGATTCGGGATCTTCGTAGCCGATGGTGAACTCCTGCTCTGGGATGCGGAACCACTCATTCTCGACTCGCTCTGCTGCGGCCTCTCGAGCCATACCGGCAAAGTTTGGCCGCGGAATATCTGGCGGTGGTAACTGGTTCGGACTCAGGATCGACATGTAGAGAAAGGTCTCGATGTGCAGTGCTAAATGACTTACGTTAATAGTGTATTATTTAAGACTATACTTGAAGCTGAAAGGCTTACCCTCGTGCTCGAAGCCAATCCAAAGCGCACGGCCTATGCATCGATTATTGAAGGCTTCGCCTGTTATGTATAGAGACATTATTCGGGCTTTAACCCTTTCCCTGTAGTTAATGATTTCGGATAATAGGGGCCACACTTCCGGCAGCTCGCTATGATCATGGCATTGAGTTGGATCGTTTACATCGGGATCAATACCACGCTCGAACATTGTGGCGTAGCAGGCTGGCTCTGTTGGCTTCTTGCCCGTAGCTCGTGTCAAATGTATGTCTTCACTATGAAACGGGGTTGGTGAGTATACGCAGCTACTCCGCTCACCTGAAGCGAAATCACTTACAACGTAGGGATATGACCCAGGTAAAAAAGCAAGGGGTTGCGAAGAGGGATTGGTTTCTCCATCAGAGCCTCTACCGGTATCATCTTAGTAGTTACGAGGTCCCATGCATTCCAAAGCGCTTTCCATTCGTCCAGGATGGGTACTGGCCCAGGAGCGTACTCCTTTGGCTTAAGTGGAAATGCATACGGATTTTTTGGAGGCGTCATCGTCGCTACCTCGAATTTTGTGGGTAAAGTACGAAGAGTAAGAAGAATAATATGTATGATTTGCGGATTATTTGCGGAACGCCTGTCACCGAGATTTATATTCGCTGTTCATGTTTGACGAAAGAATTGTGGGCAAGTTGTTGGTCGGCTGAAAGCTGAAGAAGTACTCGTCATAGTGCGGAGTAGCCTAGCCAAAATTGTGTTCGACTTAAGGGATCACTAGCCGTATTTGGGTGTGGCTTTCTTTAGACCGATGTCAACCGAGAATCTTGAAAGCAATTGATATCTCTCAGTATCAAATAGCGTGGGTGCGTGGACAAGACACTCTTAGTTCATGTTATCCCAGTTAGCACGACGGTGAATGAGAGCAGAGAAAAGCGAGTGATGGTTTCCGCATGGTGATGTAGTCTCAAGCTCAAATATTTGGGTAGTCAGTTCAAACAATTTGTGCAAACAGACAAAGCTATGTAGCTGCATTCACACTTCCTTTTGAATATTCTCCCCGCAATAGAGCTTTACAGTTGGTTAGGTACAGTACAAGACGCAGCGGAACGACCCGGCGGGATGGTTGCCGTCTCAACCCCGACGTCGCACAATCTCATGCAGCAGGGAAGCAATACCAACATCCACAACACAGCACAACAACCCAAATCTCTCTTGTTCACGATGAACCGCATCTCTGCCTGGTTCGATTCGCATCCTCTCAACCCTGACGGCTACGATTTCGACCATCACATCTACCAACGCCCCTCTAAACGGCGGTGCCTCGGCGGTTCGGGGATCGCGTCGCGGAAACACTACGCCGCAAAGGCGGCGCCAACATCAACCAGACGCGTATGGATCACGTACGCTATGCGCCTTTTGCCGTCAGCATCGAATCGAAGCGCGCCGCCGGTGAGGATTAGGCATATGTATAACTCGTGGTGTGGGTGTGGGCGCAGTTCTCGCGTCTGCGGCAGCTTGTACCGACGGCTAAGTCGTGGCCCGTACTACTACTGGTGGTTGTGTAAGGGTACGAGTGGCAGTTACTATTCGCTGAAATGGTGGATAGCGGATGCGTAATACGGATTCTGTAGTACGTTGTGCTTAGGGCTACGGATATTGTGTTGAGGGTTTATTAGCTTGTCGCTTCGTTGAGAAGACTTGCTTGGTGGGTGTTATAGACCTCAAGGGAAATCAACCCGCAGGGTCGGGAAGACCTTATGGGTAGAAGGCCCATACGGGCCCCGAGACTATAGGGGCTTAGTAACCATAAGGGATCGAGTCCAGCGTGCGGAATCGTCCAGCCTTATTACCGTCGGTCCAGTCAAATGGACGGTACGCTAACGGACGGTCACGACCGTCTCCGTAGCGTCGCGCCAAGAACGGTCTCGCCCCGACGGAGCTTGGTTCAGGGGGACGGTGGCAGACGGTAGTTGGATATAATTTTGCTGGTGTACCGAATAATTGATGGTGTTGAGGGGTATCTCAGGGGTAACTCCGCCGCCACCTGCCTAAATAGGTTTAGCGTTAGGGCTAGAGCAACGTCAGACTCAACGTCGGGGTTGTTTACGTGCCAAGCCA